TAGTAAATTAGGGGAAAAAAAGATACAGAATGATAAGGAAAGAAAAGTATTCATTGAATTTGAATCTGCTAAGGTTATTGTGAGTCTTAGGAAAGCAATGTCAGTCAAGTGGTGGGCTGTGGTGGGGTGGGTTGAAGACCAAAATAAGCCAAATTATGGTAGGTTGAATTAGAGACCCACAACAGAGGAGTGTAGATGGGAAGCATTTAGGACTCTTCCAAGGAGCTTTTCTTTGAAAGGAGATGAGAGTGAGCTGGAGGGCAGTAGTTAAAGGGGAGAAGGGGGTCTTCAGAGAAGCTGTTTTTGGAAAGTTTGGATGAGGTTAAAGAGAGCAGGAGAGCATGCTTATGGGCCAAGGGGAAGCCAGAGAGAGAGGGAGGATGACATCATAGGGGATTGAGCAAGGTTGCTAAGGAGGCAGGAGGACAAGTGATACAGAAGAGGCCCACTGCATTAGACCCAGAAATGTTTTCTTATTCTAGTTTCTTCACCACCAGTTGATGAATATCCGTAAGACACAATTTTTAGGATAGATTTAGTAAATTGGATTGAGAATACTTCTTACACATTTTTGTACCCCCCACCATAGTACATTAGATGTGGCAGGTATACCTATGATTCTCTTTTATTTTTTTGAGACAGAGTCTTGCTCTGTTGTCTAGGCTAGCATGCAGTGGCATAACTACAGCTCACTGCAAGTTCAGATTCCTGGGCTCAAGCGACCCTCCCACCTCAGCCTCCTGAGTAGCTGGGACTACAGGTGTGCACCACCACGCCCTGCTGATATTTTTCTTTTTTGTGGACATGGGGTTTCTCTATGTTCCCCAGGCTGGTCTTGAACTCTTGGGCTCAAGCAATCCTCCCTCCTTGGCCTCTCAAAGTATTGAGATTATAGGGGTAAGCCACCACATCCAGCCTGACTACAATTTTTAAATTCATTAAATCATTCCTCTGATGAATAATTAACAACCCCCGTTGTTTACAGGGAATACAGGTAGAAGCTAGCTCAAGTCCTTCAGAATTTGGCTAAAATCTTGGCCTCCAGCTGGCTTCCACTGCAGCCTCCCTCTCCAGTCAGTTGTGTTGGCAGTGTTGGCTCCCTCTGCTGTGTTGGCTTGCCCAGGAACATGACTCGCCCATCCTTCTGCCTTTGCCCTGCTCCCACTCCATCACTGTGTCACAGTACCCTTTTCACATAGAGTGAGACTAAGACTAAAATCCAAACCAACCATGGCCTACAAAGTTCCTTGGATCTGCCTCCTGCCTATCTCTCCATTGCATATGCAACCACTCTCCCTACTCTCTCTTCTGTTCCTTGAACAGGAAAGCATTTTGCTGTCTCCACACAGTGGCCCTTGCTTTGACTGCTGCCTAAAATGCTCTTTGCTTAGCTCTGTGTGGCTGGCTTTTTTACCCTTCAGGTCTCAACCTGACGTCACTTCATCTAAGCACTGAGAACAATTTGTTTATTGTCCTTCCACTTTCCCCCGACAGAATGGAAGCTCCATAAGGGCTGGAACCCCAACCCCACTGTCTTGTCTCTTATCCTCAATGTCTATTACAGTGCTTGACAAATGCCTTTAAAATATGCTTCATGAATGAAGCATGAATGAATGAACAGCTCCTCCATAATCTCAACACCTAGCTTAAATCCCACCTCCATAGTAAATATGAATAATAGCTGACATTTATTTAGTGCTTACCTTGTTCCAGTGTTTACATATATTATCTCACTTAATGAGGTCCCTCCATTTACCTCCTGTAACTCATACAGTAATTACCCATGCTACTCCTTTCATATTGAATCACAATTTAGCCTCTTACTTTGCTATTTATTACATGCATCACTCTTTTTACTCCGGTGGCATAATTACTGCTCCTCCACAGCCCAGTGCCAAAGCACACAGAGAGAGCTCAAGATATGCTGAATGACTGAAGATGTCCCCGCCCCCTGCCTGCCATCCCTGGGGTTATAATAGTAACATAAAAAAATGTTGAGAGATTATTTTTATCATGTCAAAGATAAGCACAGTCAGACTTTAGTTAAAGCAGCGAAAACACTACCGAATAACTATTGACAGTAGGGGAAAGAGCTGAGTTCCCTTCAGATTCATAGAGAGGTCACCGGGCTTTTTAAAGAGAAAATGAACTGGGGGGCAGTGGGGCAGGGAAGAATTGCAGGTGCCTAAGAAGAGTCTGCAAAGTGAAAAAATTACAAAAAATGGGAAGGGAGGGGACCAGTCCATATGAGACCCATCTAGGCTTGCTAACTGGTGCTTATTGGAGTTAGGCTCCTACCCTGCCAACAGAGGCTAGGAGACAAGGCCTTGTCTTCAGGTGTTCGCTGGAACAAACAGTAAATTCTTTTGGCAGCCTTGAGTTTTCTCAGGCAGGCACTTTAAAGGGATCTAGGGTCATTCCAGGAATGTAGCCTTGAGCTGTTTGAAACTATGTAGCACTTGTTCATGTCTTTATAGGCCAAAGTTGAGGACAAATTGAGAAGAGGACTCAAGGAGCCCAACTAAAGTTTGGTCAAAGAGAGAATCTTTTGTCAACTGTAAACTCCAAACAGAAAATCTAATCCACTTTGCAAGTGGACAAACTCAATTCCACCTGTAAAGATGTCAAAAATGTTTAAAACATGATAGTTTGAGCTTTGAGGTATGAGATATCCAGTTCAATCCCCTCATTTTCCAGAAGAATTTGTTTAAAACCTTAACTTTCTAGAAAGAATTGTCCATTCTGTCACAAATGCTTCAAAACCAAGTTCACAAGTTTCACATTGAGAAGCTATAAGAATGGGTTCCTAGCATTACATCTTAACTGCTGGGTTTTGAAATATCTGCTTTGCAGTGTTGCAGAATTCCAGTTGGAGGAGCCCTGCAGTGTTGAGGATTTTAGGAGTCCCTTCATACGTGTCCAGGTGGTGGCTTGGGGAACCTGAAATCTGTGTTGATGGAGACTAAAGGGAAGAGGATCCTCCCAAATTCCTCTAAATGCTTCTGCAGCCTGGAAATTCTGTTCTACATTTCATCTTAGGTTTCAGTTACGACCTACTCCTTCAGGTTTGGGGCTCAGATCAAAAGGAACACCCCTTAGGAATCCTCCCTTCATTGTAAAAGATGACATTGGGACATTCTGCTCTGCTTGTACCACCTGGGTGTGGTCCTTCCCAAGGCTGGCAGTAAGTGTGGCGTCCGGAAGGGCTCTTATATCCAACACTCTACTCTGGAGAGCCATGAGCGTTATTCCTGAAATCATCTCAGGCTCTGACACCCAATAGTGATTTCCTCCTTTGGGTTTCACGCTGGAGCAGATGTGTACAGTCAGGAAAATGTCACCCAACCTGTCTCTCCCCATCTGGCAGGTCAGCAGGAAGCACCTGTCCTACTGGGTATGTTTTTGTTACAAGGGCCACCCTCCTATAAGAGCAGGTATCTTCTCTCTCTCTCTCTCTCTCTGAGGCGGAGTCTCACACTGTCGCTTGGGCTGGAGTGCAATGGCCCAATCTCAGCTCATTGCAACCGCTGTCTCCCAGGTTCACGCGATTCTCCTGCCTCAGCCTCCCGAGTAGCTGGGATTGCAGGCACACACCACCACAGTCGGCTAATTTTTGTACTTTTAGTAAAGACAGGGTGGGTTTCCGTATGTTGGCCAGCCTGGTCTTGAACTCCTGACCTCGTGATCCGCCCGCCTCGGCCTCACAAAGGCTTGAGCCACTGCGACCAGCCCGTGTCTTCTCTTATTGAATCTTAAACCCTACATCCCCTACTGTTCATTGCAGTAGAATCTGGGCAACGTATTTTACCAAGGACTCTTTTTTGAGCTTCTTAAATGGCCGGGGAGGTAATTAAATCCCATGGGTCTAATGACACACACATTTTCCATTCTAGCGGCTCCAAGTTCCTTCTCTGATAAATAGTTTAGCAATTATCTCTTTGGCCACTACCTGCCTCCCCCGGGAATGGTCTGCCAGGGTGATCTGTACTCCCCTGCCATTTTCCAGAGTCTCTGTAAATTAGGAAGAATTCCTGATGTCTCGAGTAACGTAGCTCTTTATGGGAGTGGAACGTGGCTCTCTTTCCTCACTTTAAAATAGAAATTCTGGAGACTAAGCACCATCAAGGTAGCCATGATTTACCAAAATGCCAGCTTTTCAAAGTTCTTAAGTGCACAACCTTCCAGACTGTAGACCGAACAAGGGGAAAGGAGACAAAATGTATTGTCATGATTTTGCACGGCTAGTCTCTGGCAGAGTCAAGACCTCACATTCACTTGAGGGCTCAAATTTAGATAGTGACATCTCCAAGTGAAACTACAGAGTCCTAAGTGTGTGTGTCAGGTCACTTGCTAACTGTAAATGAACATTTAAAATATGTCACAATGCACTCGTGGCACGGCTTACTTTTTGTCAGTTTTACATATCAGGTATCAAAAAGAAAAATAGTCTGATCCTGCCCCAACCTCTAGAAGGCCCAGGTTCAGGGTCCCGCCACCAGCGGGAGGAGGGGTGAAAGGTGATTAGAAGGGTGGCGTCAGAACTGCAGGAATTTCAAGGTCGGTTCCTAGGCCTCAGCGGTGGAGGCTAGGACGAAGGCGGGGGCTGCAGCGCTGTCTGAGCCAAAAGTACGCCGCGCTGAGGCCGGGTATGGAACGGGGCGGGGCTTCGGCTTGATGGGGCTAGCGGATGGTTGGGCCGCGGCGGGATGAGGCGGGGCTTCGGGTGGGACGGGGCGGGACTTCGGGAGAGATGGGGAGGAGCCGTGGCGAGGCGCTGCAGAAGAAAGGAAATGCGCTGGCGGGGAGACCGGGGTTGGTCCCCGGCGGGGCCGGGGGCGGGCTCGGGCCGGAACTTCAGAGGCGACCTCAGCCAACTGCTCTTGCGCCGGGCGGAGCCGTCGCCGCCAGCGGCTCGGAGCGCCGGAAGCGCCGAGTTTCAGGGTTCCTGGAACTACAGGCGGCGGGAGGGGCTGCAAGTGGGTCCATTTTTTTTGGTATCGTTTTTCGTCCTTTTCTTGGCTTATCCCCAAAAGCGGAAAGTTTAGGGCAGAGCGACAATCAGACCCATCCACTGTGCCCCAACACGTGCAGGGCTGCGAGGGCGCCCGTTCCTCCCGGGACCCCTAGCGGTTTCTGGTACGCCTGTATGGACGTATCTTCCCAGAGTGAAAGTTGATGTTTAGCCATTCCGAAGTTGGTGCTTTGTGGGAAGGAGAACAGCGGGAGAGCCGTAAGGAATGCAGGCGTCTTAACGCGCGGAACGCCTCTTAACACGCCCCGTGACATGGAGTTTGACAGGGCCCTGGATCCCTGCGTTCACCCCTCCTGGAGTCCTGGACGCCCACCTAGGAGCAGCGTCAGGGCCGTGCCACTTTGACCCACGTTAAACGCATTGCATCCTCATTTCTGTGTCCTGTCTAGATGCTTGACTCAGTGATGCAGAACTTTCAGGGTTAGCTGGAAGCCACAGCCCAGCCTCTTGATGCAGCCTGGATCCAGCCGGTGTGAAGAGGAGACCCCTTCCCTCTTGTGGGGTTTGGATCCTGTGTTTCTAGCCTTTGCAAAACTCTACATCAGGGATATCCTGGACATGAAGGAGTCCCGCCAGGTGCCAGGTATGTGGCTGGCCACCCTGGGATGCCCTGGGCTGCGTCTGCCCCCCTTTCCTGAAGTCTCAGAAAGCTGGGATTAGAGGCTTTTAGGAGAGCCTTCCCTGCTGCAGGCTTTGAAAGTGACCTAGCCTGGGCCTTCGCATGAGTTCATTTATTTGGAAGGTAAAAAAACAGTCTAAATCTTTTTTTTTTTTTTAAGTAGGTGTTTGGGGGAGTAACATTTGTACTGAGGTTTTTACCTCCATTTAGGGTCTTTCATACTTGAAAATGCTCATTTGTTTTTCTTTGGCCCTGCTCCTGTTGGGGAGATCGCTGGGCCAGATATTCTTAGGCCTGGCTCCTTTCCTAAATGTGCCACTTACCTGGCCCGGGCTTGTAACTCACCTTCTGCAAAGTTTGGGTTTCTTTGTGAAAATGGAGCTTAACCCTGTGTAATGGAATCTTTTGATTCCTGATATGTAATGGGGGTTTGTTTTCTTTTGAATTAAGCAGAATCAAAATATTATAAACTCCCTGAGAGGAAGGACATCATCTGTCTTGTTCACCTGTGTAATCCCAGGGCTTAGAACAGTGCCTGGCATATAGTGCGCCCTCAAATAGAAATAGCTGTTGAAGCAGAAAGGCATTATACATGTAAAGTTTAAATTTTTTTTTTTTTTGGTATTAGAATAGTGGCTACTAGAGATAGGCTTATCATAACTAAAAATATAGCAAATGTAGTTTGGGGTGGATTTAAATAATTCACGTAGCTGTCTAATAATTCACAAATAGTTTGGGGTGGATTTAAATAATTCACGTAGCTGTCTAATAATTCACAAATAGCCACGTGTTTACTGTGCTATTTGAGAAGTTTGGTTAAACTTTCTGTGCTATTTTGAGTGAAGCTTTCCAGTCAAGGGCCTTCTGAATAAAAAACAATGAGTTAGAAGTAGTCAAGAATCTCAAGCATCCACAGTTTTAATGAGATAAGGTTTTGTTTGTTTCCAGTTAAATGTACAAATATATTTGGATGACCTTATGCTAATGACTTTTGTACAGATTTTTCGCCATGCCTTTATTTCCTAATTATTGTTGGAAATGGTCTGTTTTTTTCCCTTGGAAGGCAGCCAGCCTCCTCCACAGTTTTCCATTTTCCAGTCTGGTATTCTTCATAGCTCATCTCTTCAGGAAGAAATTAATTCACACCAAATTCTAGGCTTCCTTGCTTAATGATCTTCTGCAGGTGAGAAAACAGGTACCAAGGACATGACGGGCTTAACTCTCCCTGTAGGCAAAAGACTTTATGATGTATTGAAAACAAACCGACAAAACAGGACCAGTAATCTTTGATTTATCACTGATGAGAATGTTTCCAAGGTGTTTTAAAAATGAAACCTTATGGTTAAAGCAGATATCAACTGACAGAGTGGATACTTTTAGACCTGGGGTGCCCAACCCCTGGGGCCACAGACCATTACTGGTACATGGCCAGTTAGGAACTGGGCCGCACAGCAGGAAGTGAGTGGTTGGCCAGTGAGCATTACTACCTGAGCCCCACATCCTGTCACATCAGCAGCGGCATGACATTCTTACAGGAGCGCAAACCTTATTGTGAAGTGCACGTGTGAGAGATCTAGTTGCGCACTCCTTAGGAGAATCTAATGCCTTATGATCTGAGGTGGAACAGTTTCATCCCCAAACCGTTCCCCCAACCCCCATCCTCGGAAAAATTGTCTTCCACAAAACCGGTGTGAGAAAGGTTGGGGACCACTGCTTTAGACCATACCATAGTGTTCTGGGGGGTGCGGAATTCCACTCCTAGGTTTTTGTTTTGTTGTTGTGTCTGGTTTCATTTACTGTAAAGACAAAACTTTTGACTACGTGAAATTTAGGATTATTTAAACTGGTTAGCAAAGAATATCTTAAACAAAATAACAAAGAGAAACCCCAAAAATGATAAAATATGAAATGAATGTGTTGTATGATAAAGAATTTCACTGACCTTTGCCGTTGGTTCCTGAAGGGTAACATCTAAATTATTATAGTTTCCTGAGTGACAGGAGCATCATCATTATTCATCGTGGCCTCTCCAACCACACCTGAATTTATGCGAATCAGGTGGTTCATGCTGGATCCCTAGATAGTTTGGGATGGGGGCTGTCTATGCCCAAAAGACCAGCTGTTTGATTAGAGAGTTGGGGTTTTGAGCCAGATCATATCAGTCTGACTCTTTGGGAGGGGAGTGGGGCTGGAGATTGAGTTCAGTTATGTGGTCAGTAATTCAGTTAATTGTGCCTACCTTATGAGACCTCAGTAAAAACTCTGGACACTGAGGGTCAGATGAGCTTCCCTAGCTGATAATCACGTGTTGGTGTATCAGGAGGTGATGTGTCGAGGACACAGAAGCTTTGTGTTTGTGCCCTCCCAGACCCTGCCCTGGGCATTTCTTCGTTTGGCTGGCCCTGATTTGTATCCTTCATGGATAAAACTATAATCATAAGTATAGCACCTTTCTGAGGCCTGTGAGTCATTCAAGCGAATTATCAAACCTGAGGGAGTATTGAGGACCCCCAAATTTATAACCAGTTGGTCAGAAGTACAGATATCCTGAGGACCCTCACAAAATTTGGGACTCATAACTTAAGTGAGGGCAGTATTGTAGGGGACTGTGCCCTTCACCTGTGAAATTTAACCTAACTTTGAGTAGTTACCATCAGAATTGTATTGCAAAATGATTGTGAAATGTCAGCTCCCCAAAATTTGAATTTAGAGTTAAACTAAGAAAAATACTGTGAAATTTGATTGTGGTGGTATTTAGATTTGTGGATTTTTTTTGTTTTTTGTTTTGGCATTAAAAAAAAGTAGCCCAGGTACAGTGGCTCATGCCTGTAATCCCAGCACTTTGGGAGGCCAAGGCGGGAGGATCACTTGAGCCCAGAGTTCAAGACCAGCCTGGGCAACAAAGTGAGACCTCGTGTCTAATTTTTGAAAAGCAGTACCAAGGCTACAGTAAGCTGTGATTGTACCACTGCCTTCCAGCCTGGGCAATAGAGCAAGACCCTGTCTTAAAAAAAAAATGTATTTTTAATAATAGCTGATAACATACAGAAGTCATATTTATTGTTTTAAATATCTGTATCTGTGTCAGACTTTAATGATGGATTAAATAATAGTGACTTGTTTATTTAAATCGGCATATAATACTTACCCTATTCTAGTGGGTACAATGAAGTGGAAATAATATATCTGTAAGAATTATATTAAATCTGGTTGGAAAAGATTATCTTAGGTGTTTTAATGCTGTCAAACATAAATAACATAGCATCAATTAAATAACAGCAATTAAACTAAAAAGAGAGCAATCAAAAGTACTTTTAAAAAGAGAAAACAGTCAAATGTCTTGCTGTGGTTGCAGACGTTCAGGGTTGGCTGCTTGAAATCTGAATCAACCTGCCTGTGACCCTAGATCCCTGAACCCTTATAGCTCGACCCTCCTCCTTCTTGGGGGCCTGATGATCCAGGGGATCCTCTGATGCTTTTAGGCCTCTGTGGGCTGCATGTGGAACAGCAGGAACACAAGGGTCACTTGGGAAAGGCTGGAACATAAACTCTGTTATCTAGTATTTGTTACTGTTTTCTTTTCTTAGTTCATTGAGCTTTCTCTCAGTTGACAGAGCAGCCGTCCAATTTTCTTGAGCTCTCTTCTTATAGAAGATTGCTTTGATAGAAGAAAATGGCTCTCTAATTCTTTTTTCCATGTCTTCAGTCGTCTTCTTGTAGATGCTGTGCATCTGATACGTGTAGTTCATGTTTCTATATACTTGAAGAAGTTTCTTCTTTCTAAGCAGTATATTTCCTCCTCAGTTGCTTTTCTCTGAGTTTTAAAATTCAAACTGTCTTAAATTCTTCTGATCTTTTTCGCCATTGTTCTGTGATGCTTTTAAGATTTTTTTTTTTTTTTTGCATCAGCCGCTTGGAACTGGAAAGATTTTGTTGCATCTTCATCTTGAGTGACCGTGTCTGTCCTTAAAGGCAAGTCATTGTTGTCAGTCTGTGAGGTGAAAATTCATAGGACCCACTTTTCTGTCCTTTTTCAAGAAAGTCTACTGTGTCCACAAGTGAAGACCTGTTCAGATTTTTATTAAGTGTTGCCACACACAAAAGTTTGTAGCATTGGATGACTGGCCTCCATCAGAGGTGACTTGAGGACTTCATTGGCTTGTGCCGTTAGCCCAGTCTTCTCAATGCCTTTCCCATAGACTTCAACCCAGGAAGAATACCTTTTGTTCCACTCTTTTCCCCATCTGAAAGTGTTTTTGCTCTTTATTAAAACCACGACAGTGGTACATGCTAGGATCTCCTTGGAGACCCAAAGAATCCTGGGACTTTCAGACATCACCAGCAGAGCATCCTGCTGCTTCTCGACCAATTGGAAAGACATTTTGGTGGCGGACAGCTGGCCCTCTGTGGGTCCAAAGGGCTCTGCTTTCTGCCTGTGATTGCCTATGTGCTGTGGGCCACAACAAACCCTGTGGAGTGTCTGTCTCTAATACAAACAAGTACTTGGCAGCCAGGATAGATCATCACATAGGCCAGGGAAGGGAGAGGCCAGCCCTGTTCTATAAAACAGTTCTCTCTAACTTTACTCTGCTCAGTGTACAAATAGTGATACAGAGCATTTGGGGAGGCAGAAAGGGCTGAGTGCAGCCAGAGATCAGCCTGGAGCTCAGGCCACCTGGCCCTGCAGCAAACCTAGACCACCAAAGCAGCACCATGCCTCAGCCCTGCTCTGCACACAGGCATTCCAAGGCAGAGTGGTGGGGTGTATGGCAGTAGAGTTGGCATCCCTGGGTGAGGTTCATTTTCCTGGTTTAAAGTTTGCTTCTGCCGTAAGGAAGCCTGCCGTTGACTACACAGGACACAGGGATCTCCCTTCTCTGCAGGCTCCCTGTCCTTTTGCGTTTGGTCAGTGCAGGCAGGCAGGGGCAGAGGACTGAAGATCTCATCAGTGGTGTTATGGAAAAGACTAGGTTTCAATTGTGAAAACTTGGGAGAAGCCGGTTGGAACTGGCTACATCTTAGAATGTTATGGCCTTGGTGCGGTGGCTCACACCTGTAATTCTAGTGCTTTGGGAGGCCGAGAGTTTGAGTCCAGCATGGGCAACAGAGAGAGACCCCCACCTCCATAAAAATGTTTAAAAATTAGTTGGGCTCCTGCTTGAGACCAGGAGTTGAGACTGCAGTAGGCTGTGATTATGCCACTCGGGCAACAGACTGAGACCCAATCTTTAAAAAAATCACAAGCAAAAACATGGATTTTCAGTGGAACCACTTTGTCTCCATTCAATTCAAGTTTTCCTGGATGGGGGTGACTCTCTTTTGGGGGTGACACAGTGACCCAGGCTCCTTCCCTCCTTGTTCCTGCCGTCTTCAGCTCATGCCTGCAAGGTTGAGCTGAAAGGTTATCTTTAGAAGCATGCCTCTGTGGAGGGAGGGGGTCTGGCTTGTGGCTAAATTTACCACCTCTTGTTTCTTAAAACCACATCTCACTCCCCTAGTATCTCTCTGTAACTGAGGCTTAGAGGCTCTTTGTCCATTCTTTGGACTCTTCCTCAGTCCCTTTGTCTACAAGGGAAACAACCATCAGCAGAGGCCAGTCTGAGCGTTCTAAGGGGCATCGGGATTCAGGCCACAGGTCCCCCCATGAATGGAGAGAATAGAGGCTGTGACTAGGCTTCATGGTGAGGAGAAGAATGGCCAAATGCCTGAGGTGATCTTTGTTTCTTAGTTTAGAATTCATGTATTTATTTTTAAAAAGACTTGACCGAGTGTGGTGGCTCCCAGCACTTTGAGACACCAAGGCAGGAGGATCGCTTGAGGCCAGGAGTTCAAGACAAGCCTGGGCAACAAAGTGAGATGCCCATGTCTAATTTAAAAAAAGGAAAAGGACATCACCACATAAAAGTTTATAACCTGTTTCTGAAAGTAAAGAATTTAGCCATCATGGGGGTGGGGGGAAGAGGCAGGAAAAGAGATTGGACAGGACTCTTTAGTTGCAGGTGACAGGAACACAGTGCACGCAGCTTAAGGTGAAGCAAGGAGCTCGGGTCAGGTTATTGAGGGACAGGCAGAAGGGAAACCCTGCAGGAGCCTGGACAGCCCTGGGACCATCAGGGACTCCCTGCTCTGAGCAGCCCCTCTGTGTCCTGGCCCCACGCCAGAAGAAAGCCTCTGGGTATCAGGGGGTAGGTTCCCTCTCAGCTTTCTCCGCTGGCAGGAAGTTGCCTGCCGCCATCTGTAACCTAGGTTTTGAAAACAGAGTTATAAAAAGAGAAGTTTTGGAGTTGTAACCTGGCCCCAAAGGGTAGTGTTTTGTAATCTACTTACTGTCTTTTTTTTAAAAAAAATGCTATTGCCAGTTCAAAGAAATGGCAGCTGATTTCTTAGAAAAGCACTTGTTTAAAAAAAAAAAAAAAAAAAACCAAACAAATAAGCCTTTCTCATGGTTTCCTCTCGCTTTCCTTCTTCTAGTTGCTTCAAATATAGTCCTGTGTTTGGTCCCCCACTATAATGACTGTTTTCAGGCCCCTTGTGAGCATTCTGCACAGAGGTGTATTCACCAAATCTAGTTGGACAGCACTGGTTTTCTCCCGTCTGCACTAGTACAAGCTTTAATGTCAAGCTTTCTACTTAGGACCTGTGAGGAAAAGACATTGGAATTTCTTGGGGCATTGTCATTTGTCAAGGACTGATTCTTAAGTCTAGAATTTCAGCAAACAGCATGGCATTGATTTTTTTTTACACCCCTTGCCCCCTACAAGTTAACATTTAATGAAGCAGAAAATGTGATCATACATTATGTTGACTTTGCTTTTTTTAAATTTTAGGTGTATTTTTGTACAATGGACATCCAATAAAACAGGTAGATGTCTTGGGAACCGTCGTTGGAGTGAGAGAAAGAGATGCTTTCTACAGTTATGGAGGTAAGAACAATTGTGTCTGAAATGAAGTTGATGTAGAAGACTGACCCTTCTGGGCTGAAAGTTGGATTTTAGCAGCCCCAGCCGTTTAGAGTAGCTGGGGACCCTCACTAAGGGCATGTACTTTCTCTATGGGGTACCCCTTATAGCCCCAGACATGGGCTAAGAATAAAATGAGGCAACGGATAGGAATGATACTGATGAATTCAGTGAGGTGACAGCTGCTGAGACACTAGGACGTGGAAGAATTAAAATACAGCCCCCTAGGAGCACCGATGGACAGGGCGCGGGGGGGCGGGTACCTGATGCCCAAGGGTATATCTGTAAATAGCAAAGGGTGGTAATATATGGTTATGTGGATCACTTTAAAAAGCAACGACCAGATTAATGTTAAAGTAGATTCTTTAACAACACAGGAAGGTGTGAAAAATAATTTTAAAATCTTTATATCTAGAACAGTTAACAAAAAGCCTTTTGATACTCAAAGGGATAAATATCCATTATCAGAAAGTTTATTTTCCCTCATGATGACGGAAGCTTAATAAAGGGTTTCTATATTATGGACACTAGAGAATTGCTCACTTGTGATTTTAGTGTAATAGGTCCTTATTTTTTCATTGAGTTGATTTTTAAGCGTTTAAGACATTGCCTTGTACAACTCCAAGCTTCTCTGTAGTCAAGAGCCCAAGCTAGATATTTTGTGGAAAACTTAACTTTAAATTCCATACCTTTGCTGAAATTGACATTGTCACTTTTTGTGCTATGCCTTGGATTTGTATTCTTACTCTTCTTGAGGAAAGATAGAAAGCAGTTGAACTTTGTGACCAAGAGCATTTCATTGGCAGTCCCCGCATGATTGATAATTTGTAGATACAATCTCGTTACATTTCTTTACATGTACTCATTTTCCTGAAGAGTATTATCTTGTGCTTTTAATAAAATAATGTGAAAAAGAAAAGCTCTCATTTTTTCTGCTTTTTCCCAGCATGTGTGTGTGTGTGTGTGTGTGTATATATATATGTATAATTTTTTTGTTTTTAATTCTGAAAAGGATCACCTTGTCAGACATTCCCAAACTGAATCTCTTCTCTGCTTTATTTTGCCAAAGATATTGGTCCTGTTTTTCTCCAGACAACTCAACAAATACTTACTAAGTTCCTACAGTGTATCCAGCTGTGGGCAGTACACTGTAGTATAGTAGAGTGCTTCCTCTCCAAATGCCAACGAGGAAATAATAGCGTCTTTCAATTTGCAAAGCACTTTTATATGCATGATTTCATATTATTCTACCCCTAGTCTTTTGAAATAGAAAGTACAGGTACTCATTTTGTAGATGAGAAAACTAAGGCTTAGTAACTTGCTCAAGATTCCACTGATGGAGATTTGTGGGTCCATTCTGTTTACTGACTCCAGTGTGTTCAGTGGTCTCCATATAACTCAGTTTGATTTCTCTCTCCTCTTTCTTTCTTCCATCCCCCACCCACCAAAAAATAAATAAATAAATAACTGCATTTGATTTTTGGTTTTCTGTTTTTCAGATCAAATAAATGAGGCTGTTTGAGGACTTTAAAATCCTGGCCCTAGAACCAGGCTAGATATTAAGCCTGCGCCTAAAGGAGCTTCACTTAACCCCTTTTCCCATTATAAAAAGATTAAGGCACTATGGTTGCCTCTTCTCCAGTAAGCTTTTCCCTCTGAGTGAGTGTCTGAGGAGCATGACATATCTGTGGGCTTCGGGAAAATAAAAAGCATCTGACTGCTGAAATTATTGAGAGTAGAGAGGCTTTTGCAACTTTAATTCTTGTGGAGAGCTGCCCCTCTCCTTGCTGTCCTCAGGCAGAACATGGCTTTTGGGCCACCTGCCAGGTGGCCACTCCCTGCTGTTCTGGGTTCTGCTTCCCTTGAGTCACCGCAGGCCTGTGCTGGGGGTGCTTCCTGCTCACACTGACTCATCCTGCAGCTGAAACAAAAGGCCAGTGGCCCAGGCGGTGCTGTGTAGCTGTGGAGTACGTTGTGCAGCACTGCAAGGGTGCCTCCATTCAGGGGCATTCCAGCAGCCAGACCTCTGGGCACCAAGGCACTCGGTCTGCTGGGAGAGATCACAAACCTGGTTAGTCCAGGGATTGGTGACAGTGCCCAGAGTGCACAGAACACTTGAAGCAACTCAAGCTTAGACCTAGAATGTTGGAAGGCTACAGTCAAGAACAGAATAACCTCACATTCTCTAGGACAAATGTTCATGTGCTAATTTTTTTTTTTTTTTTTTTTTTATGGTCCACCCTGGAGTGCAGTGGTGTGATCTTGGCTCACTGCAACCCCCTCCTCCCGGGTTCAAGTGATTCTCCTGCCTCAGCCTTCCAAGTAGCTGGGACTACAGGTGCTTACCACCATGCCCAGCTAAGTTTTGTATTTTTAGTGGAGACGTGGTTTCACCATGTTGGCCAGGCTTGTCTCGAACTCCTGGCCTCAAGTGATCTGCCCACCTCGGCCTCCCAAAGTGCTGGGATTACAGGCATGAGCCACTGCTCCTGGCCTGCTAATTTTTTTTTTTTTTTTTTAGCTTTCTATTATAAATCAAGTTTTCAACTGCAGAGAAGTGGTGTGCCTGGAAGTGTCATGCATTTTTTTAACGCAAAATGTCCTTATTCATTTTTTGGATTCTTAAAATGGTGCTTCCTCATTATAAAATAAAATTTCAAATTAGAGACAATTTTAATGAAGTATATAAAAATCATGTGAAACACTATAAATCAGGCAAAACAATGTCAGTGTTTGGGTGAACATCCTTCCTCATTCTAAACATGTTCCCAGTATCAAAGAAATATAGAAATGCCTGTTTCCTTAGTACTATTGTGCATGTTTCTTTCTCAGTGTTTCTGAAATTAGGCTTAACAGTCAACATATACGTTGAATGTGGGGTTCCTTCCCCACACTCCAAGAGAAACTGCTGTTAGTATTTAATGTCTTAAAATCATTTCTGTGAAAATACACTGTTTAATGTTGCACATAAATTGGATTATATATTTCTGTTTTACAATGAGCCGTGTATATCTTTTTATTCTCATATAGTACGTCATTGTAATTTTTTTAACCATATTTATAAACATTTAGGTATTTCCAAGTGTCAATATTATAAAGAATACTACAGTGAACAGCCTTACATAAGATGTGTGTATCTGTGTACTTATTTTTGTTTTATCTGGAAGTAATTGTTAAGTCAAAGGATATGTACATTTAAAAACAACTTTGAGAGGCAGGGTCTCACAGTGTTGCCCAGGCTGGAGTGCAGTGGCTATCACCGGCACAATCGTAGCACACTGCAGCCTCAAACTCTTGGACTCAAGCAATCCTGCCTCAGCATCCTGAGTAGCAGGCATGTGCCACCGCACCTGGCTTACATTTCACAATCCGATGCATGTTTCCAAACTTGCTCGTTAAGATTTAAATTTTAGAAATTTGTTACTAATTTATACTCCCACTATCAACATATGAGGGTATCAATATTTTTAATATTTGTCAATTTCATTGTTGATAAATTATTTATACTTGCTTTTTTTAGTGGTAACTAGTGAACTTAGCATAGTGACGTGTTTTTATTGGCCATTTATAGATCTTCCATGAATCACATATTCTTTTCTTTGCCACTTTTTCTCTTGTGATCTTGATCTTTTTCTTATTAGTTTATATGAGCTCTTTATTTATTTTTTATTTTTTGAAACAGGGTTTCATTCTGTTGCCCAGGCTGGTGTGCAGTGGCATGATCATGGCTCACTGCAGCCTTAAACTCCTGGGCTCAAGCAATTCTCCCCCCTCAGCCTCCCAAGTAGCTGGGACTACAGGCACATACCACCATGCCTGGCTAATTTAAAATTTTTTTTTGGTAGAGATGGAGTCTCGCTGTGTTGCCCAGGCCGGTCTCAAACTCCTGGGCTCAAGTGATCCTCCTGCCTTGGCTTCCCAAAGTGCTGGAATTATAGACATGATCTACCATGTCCAGCCTATGAGCTCTTCCTATATTAAATCATTGACCCTATCATTTGGAATATTGCTATCCAGTATTAGTTTTTAGGTGGTCAGACTTATCAGACTTCTTTAATGAGTTCTGATTTTAAGAGTCTGCTTAAAGAAGTCTCTCCTCACCCACTATAAACCCGGGGTTAAAGGTATTCACCCATATCTTTTTCTCATCTTAAGTTTACCTCTTTTGTATTTAATGAAGTGAAACCCATCTAGGATTTATTTTAGTATAGGAAGTACTCTTTTTGGCTTTTTCTTCAGCGTGGATTTAGGCCAGCAGTAAAAAATTTTGCCTTAGATTTCTTCAGGATTATGTGTGCTTTTACAACAGTCTAGTTGATGATTTTTTTTTTTTTAATTAGGAGACCCACTAACCCCATGCTTAGCAACCTCTGTTTGAGTTTGTCAGAAATTAAGCAAAGAGAAATGCCTGTTATTCCCTAGCAAACATCTCCAAATTCCTCTATAGTTGTAAATATAACTGCAATGGGAATTGTTTGATTTTTTGCAAAAATTAGATAAACCAGGAATAACATAAGCCAGACTAGTACTGTTTTTGTGGCCAGGATATAATTATTTTCTATTATGAAAATAAAACGGTACCCTTCTGTGATGTGCTTGGCTTTCCTTACATCCCCTGCAGTGGTGAGGACTGGGCAAAAGATCTTTCACAAAGAGAAACCCAGGCCAAATGACTTGGAACGCTTTGTCTTGGTAAGTCAGCACGCTAGCAAAGAGGCTGTGACAGAAGGCTGCACCCTAAGTGCGTGTGCCCCTAACCACAAACCACACGATGCTCTCTTGTTTCAGGGTGGGAGAGAAAGGCTGATTTTGTATGTGAGCAGTCATTCAGTTTTTGCACTTAACTTCCCAAGGCCACCATTTTTAGTACAGAGGTGTAGACAAGCATCATGAGGGTACCCTTGAGGGTACTAATCATTAGTACCTTGAGGTAGGATAAGTGAAATGCTGACCATATCCCATTGGGCTTGTGTATTACATTGAGTTGTGCAGACAAGCAGTTTATACTCATATACAGTGAGAGGTTGTTTCAAAAGTGGAAGGAGAGTTTGATAAGGGATTTGCTTCTCCAGGCTATTGAAAGAGGTCATCTTTCAGTATGGCTGAATGCAATGACAGTATGCTAATTCACCAGCCTTGCCCAAATCTCTCTTCTACCCTTTTACTTTTCTCTTGCAGTGGATGACAGCACTGGAGTTATAAACTGCATCTGCTGGAAAAAGTTGAATACTGAGTCTGTGTCAGGTAATTTTATTTGCCACATTCCTTTACTTTTCACCTAACTAATGGATTTTACTCAACGTAGTTCATCAAAACAGCTACAGGACTAAATTTTCACATTTATCTGCTGGTGAGTTACACTGATCTACCTGAAGCACTATACCCAGAGCTTTGGCTGCTCTGAAAACTGATACCATAGGAAAGCCACTTGCTTTTCTTTCTCCCATCTCTTTGGTGCTCACTTCTTCCTAAGCCTACAAGAATGTGAGTAGGTTACAGGGAGTTTCAGCAGTTCATTTTTACCATGCCCGTTATTACATAAGTCAAGGCGTCTTAGCCTAATTGCTAGCCAAGTCTGATTCCCCTTGTCCCAGCCATATCACTTGACCAAAGAACATTTTGATGACTGTTTCTCTCACATGGTTGCCACTAACTTCTGTGCTGCCATGGTCCAGATTTCTTGAAATCTCTGTGTTCAAACAAATAATACCAGGAATTCTAAGATTGAGAAGGTAAGATAGGATTCCTTTGGAAGTTGTCCAGTAAGTAATATAAATTAAAAGAACTTTAAAATTGTATAGTGAACACATTGACTATAACTGAAACATTTGGTGTTGCTTGAATATATTTTAATAATTTTTAGATACTTTTTTTTTTTTTTTTAAAGACAGGTTCTCACTATGTTGCCAGGGCTGGTCTCAAACTCCTGGACACAAGTGATCCTCCTGCCACAGCCTCCCAAAGTGCTAGGATTACAGGCTTGAGCCACCACACCTGGCCCAATTTTTAGATACTTTTTAAAGTTAAGTTCATAATATGAAAGAATATCATGCAATATTGGTGATGGTTTTTGGTTCTAGAGAAGCTACGAAAACTGGAAGCTTGTTTTTTCTATGTTTTACAACATATACAGTATAGTGCCATACACAGTGGGGTTATTCAGTAAACACTGTCTGCTCTAATATCTAGCATCTAGTATCTGTCTACTTGCATTATATATGATAAGAATATCTAATGCTTGGGGTCATTTCTTCTTTTTTGCCGTAATGTGTCAGAATCTCAGCTTTGTACTTTGACTGTACCGATCAATGGAATGCTCATTTGCTTAATTTTCTGATGTATTTACATTTAGAATTTGGCCGTCAGTTTCATGTAACTTTGGAATTCTAATCCCTAATTTGGGAACGTCTAAATCAATGGCATTGCTTTGGTGAGGAAGGTTTGTAGGTAGATTTAAGGGAGACCACATGTTTTTAGGCAGATATCTGATAGGCAAGAAATAAACCTGTGAGACAATCAGGTATCTGGATTTTTATGTATGTCTGAGGTGTTTTTCTTAATCTGTTTTGTGCTGCTGTTACAGAATACCTGAGACTGGGTGATTTTATAAAGGAAGAAATTTATTTCTCATAATTCTGAAGGTCAGAAATTCCAAGATCAAAGTTTTGGTGTCTGGTAAGGTCCAGGTGCCCCCTCCAAGATGGTGCCTTGAATGCTGCATCCTGCAGAGGGAGGAGAACTGTTCCTCACATGGCAGAAGAGCACGAGAATGAGAACCACTTCTGCAAACCCATTTTATAGTGGCCTTCATTCACGAGAGTGGAGCTCTCATAACCTAAACACCTCCTGTTGGACCCCATCTTCCAACACTGTTGCATTAGGGGTGAAATTTCTAACACATGAGATTTTGAGGGGACAAAAACATTCAAACTTGTTTTTATCAAACTGTAGCAGTATTAAAATCATTTGCAGATTTTTGGTTGTTGTCACAATCTTCAGTCAGAAGGTGTAGTTTGAATATGCGTACTTGTTCTAGATGGAGAGTCAGCGAAGTTTTTCTGTAAAGGGCCATATTTTCTGCTTTGTGCACCCTATAATCTGTGTGTCTCTACTATTCAATGCTGCCATTATAGCGGAAAGTAACCACAGGCAGTACATAAGCAGATGGGCAGGCTGTGTTCCAATAAAACTTTATTTTTAAAAACAGGCTGTCGATGGATTTGGTTCATGGGCTATAGTTTGGAGACCCCTGTTTTAGTCATTGTTTCAGTTTTCAAAATTAACTCTTTTTAAAGAAATAGCATCATCAGGAATATATAATTCTTATACTTAGTAATTTTTTAGATCAACAAAATGGCTATTAATACTGAGAGTCAGATTTTTAAAATATCAATAAGTAGATAAATGAATGAACAATCACAGTGGGTAGCCTTAATTTAAGATTGCTTTGCAAATATAACGAGAAGGTAAGAGTACAAGGAGAAAAGGAGAAAACCTAAAAATGATTCTCATCGTCTTTAAATTGTTCCCAACTAGCCCATTCTCTCCTTTTTATTTAATTGCCCTTAGTTTAAAAGCTTTCCATTGGAAGGTGGCCAGCAAAGACTAATTTTTTAAACAAAATTTAGTCTGAGTCAAAATCATGTTCCAGTCCATTAAAGTGAAAGAATATCATATTAGCTCCTATAAATGTCACACTGAATGTACCGTTTGGACTTGGCCTATGAGCAAAGTTAAGATTTCCTGGCCCTGAGTATTAGAATGTTAAAGGGGATTTCTCTTTCATGATGGAATAGACGCTGAAAGTGAAGTTCTGTCGGGCTCCAGTCTTCTCATTATATTCATTAAATTCCACAGCTTGAACCTCCTTTCGGCAATTTGGCTCACCCTTTAAGTGAAAGGTGGGCCTCTTGTTCTCAGGACAACCATCAGTCCGATCATTTCAGTGGTGCTACGTGAAGCATTTACTATCACCTATAATGTCTGCATAATGGCAATGAGATGTATAAATACCTTTAAAATTCAGCCTATGTAGAAGAGGACCTGGGGATAGGGATGCAGATGGGACAGCCTTTTGAAAAAGTAGCAGTTGGGAATTTTTTGAAGAAACCCAGTAAGCTCTGAGCAGCAGTAATGCTGATTGCATCCAGGTTCCTACCTATCACTTACTGAATGCACAGAGTTCTCTGTGCTCCCTACGTTGCTGTTTCCCTGGGTATAGTAGGTGTGTTCAAGGAAAATTAATGCCTCTGCACGTTACAGAGCCACAGTTGTCAAAATTGTATTAGGTTGATTTTGATGAAGGGCTTCTCTATGAAGAAATACAGAGAGTAGATCATCTTGTATAAAAACAGCCTCTTTTGCAATTTAAAAGCAAAATAAGATGTATGGAATAATTATGTATTTGTTAAGGTATTAAAAATCCAAATGACTGAAGCTGGTGTAGGAGTTGTGAGCATGCATGCATTGCTGACAACGTTGTCTAAAACAGGGGTTTGAACAGTTTATTCTGGCAAGCATTCTGACAGTATGTAATGAACTGTAAACCAGTTTGTAATTTTTTATCCAGTAATAGTCTCTAACGAAAGACCCCCAAAACACAAGATACTTTTTCTAGAAGGTTTAATTATTCATCATCACAAATAGCTTACATTTAATTATTTCCTATAAATATGGAATTGTGCTAAGTGCAGAATGTAAGTATTCAATTAGATCATGCACAACAACTCTGTGTATGAGGTAGACTCTACTGTTGCCTCCATTTCATAATTGAGGAAACTGAAGTATAAGAGTAGAAAGGAAACTGAGGCACAGTGAGGTGAAGCAGGTTAAGCAGCCTGTCCAAGGTTACACAGCTAGTAGGAGGTAAACTGAGATTCATTTCCGACTCCAATAGCCAAATGCCAATGGCTAAGCTGTACTGTCCCTATACAGTGCTAGTGAAAAAAAACCAAAGTAAAAAATTATAAAACTGTACCTATAATCCCAGCTACTCAAGAGACTGAGGTGGGAGGATCACTTGAGGCCAGGAGTTCAATTCCAGCCTGGGCAACATAGCAAGACCCCGTCTCTAATAAACATAAAATGCTTGGCTGTGTAGCTTCTTTGGATACATATGTGTATTTGAAATTATGCTAGAAGAAAACAGAACACACAGTATTTTGCACCCACCAGCTGTAACTGGGAAATGTGAGTATCTTCCTGGGGCAGGTAGCAGAGAGTAAGGGATAAGTGGGATGGCTCTGGAGCTAGAGACTGCCTGGGTTCAAACCCCAGCCTTGTCTCTAACTAGCTGTTTTACTTTGGGCAAGTTGCTTGACCGCTCTGTGACTCAGTTTCCTCATCTCTAAAATGGGGCTAATAATAAGCAGGAGTGGTTGCGAGGACTAAATGTGCTAATACATTGTAAAGTCCTTAGAACAGCACCTGTAGTACCCAGATATTCGTGACAATTCTTCTTACTTAATACAATTTGGAAGTAAAATAGTGATAGAAGTTATTTAGAATTGAGTGTACATTGGGTTTTCTTCATCATGAAGTTGCTCAAGTTTATAGTTTTAAGTGGTGACAGAGAGAGAGAGAGAAAGTGTGAGTGTGCGTGTGTGTGTGTGTTTGAGAGAGAGACAGAGAGATTAGCCTAGTTTCCCAACAGAGATGAGAGGTGAGAAATTGGGATGTTGAGCACTCAGGTGGGACAAGTCTCCTCACAAGGACATTTGAAAGGTTGTTTAAAGCTATTGCTACCACGCCTAGCTGAACTCATTGTACAGAATTCGTCTCAAGGCCATGCAGTGCCCTTTGACTGCACTGGCGATGCAGGGCAGGAAAGAAGGCCCTGAAGTCTGTTGGAACTTGCCCTCTGGACCTCAGTCTAGACTCTATTCCCTTCACCCCACTCTTGAATAATTACAGTTTATACCTTTTTCTCAGTGGAAGACTCCAAAAGGTTATGTGGATTTCCAGCAGTAGAAGAATTACTCAGAAGTAGAATAAATAAGCATATTGTGTTGGTCTTACCCTAAAACTGTCTCATAGATGTGGTAGAGTGATTATGTTATAACTTTTTCTCTTTCCCTCTGGCTCTAAACAACTACAGCTGCTCCAAGGGCAGCAAGAGAGCTCAGCTTAACCTCGCAACTTAAGAAGCTACAAGAAACCATTGAGCGGAGAACAAAGATAGAGATTGGGGACACGATCCGAGTCAGAGGCAGTATCCGTACATACAGAGAAGAGCGAGAGATTCATGCCACCGCTTACTGTAAGCACAAGATATTTCTACCAAATTGGTGGTTTTTCTGGATGTGCATCCAGTAAACCTCTTGTTCACCTGGAAGTCAAACTTTGAAAAAGTTCAGTTAAGATATGACTCTATTTAATGAGTGAATTACATCGTTTAACATGCTTTCTTTAGAAAATTAGCATTTCTTAATTTTATTTTGAAGACAGCTAATTATAATTTGGGAAAGAAAATGAATTATTTACTTTATATATGGTTGGCAAGTTTATTTGGATGACATAGTAGAGTTTCCAAAGCACTTTCAAGTTCAGAACGTCAGTGCATTAGGGCAGAATATGAACATTCTTCAAAATAATGGAAAGTTTTAAATTTTTTCTTTATTTATTTTTCTTTTTTTGAGACAGGGTCTCACACTACTGCCCAGGCTGTAATGCAGTGGCACAGTCACAGCTCACTGCAACCTCAAATTCCTGGGCTCAGGAGATTCTCCCACCTCAGCCTTCTGAGTAGCCGGAACTACAGGCATGCGCCACCACACCCAGCTAATTTTTTATACAGATGGGATTTCGCCATGTAGCCCAGGCTGGTCTCAAACTCCTGAGCTCAAGAGATCTGCCAACCTCAGCCTCCCAGAGTGCTGGGATTACAGCTGTGTGCCACTGTGCCTGGCCAGAAATTTCTTGAACACCATTAAGTCCATTAACTTGAAATGAAAACAGCTAATCAGAAATATGACAGTTCCCCATCATCTCTCCTTTGCACTGTGCTAGCTGGTTTTCAGTTGGAAATCTCAAGGACAACCCCTGCTGTCCACCAGAGGAAGAGACGAATCAATACATTGATGTGCTTTCCTGGTTCCTTGGCCCTGGCCAAGCCCATGACACTTAGGGCATCGCATTCCCTCATGCAGGATGACTGGGAGCTATTTAGTGCATCTAGACTGTGATCCCTGGGCACTCACAAGGAAGAAGGCCCACCCAGCACCTCATTTACTGTTGTCCTAGCAGGAGTTTGGGCCTGGGAAAGAACTGATCTCAATGTAATTTGCAATTTCTGTGGCATCTTTTTTCTGGTCACTTGTTAGATAAAGTGGACGACCCAGTGTGGAACATTCAAATTGCAAGGATGCTTGAGCTGCCCACTATCTACAGGAAAGTTTATGACCAGCCTTTTCGCAGCTCAGCCCTAGAGAAAGAAGAGGCACTAAGGTAAGTGGTGCCTTATCACTGCTGAGCACGTGACTACGGCAGGAAAGCGAAGCAGCGGGAGCCCAGATGCTGGGGTTGGCCTGGGTTCAAATCCCGAATCATCCACCTACGCACTGTGGAGCTCTGAGCAAGCCCTCTAACCCGCTCTGTGCTTCAATTTCCTCTACTGTAACATGAAGAGAATAATAGCACAGATGTCCTACGGTGGTTGTGAGGAAATTATGTGTGTAATTGGAGTCACTGAAGGAGTGGAGGCAGGAGCAGAGAAAAACACTTTGAAGAAATAATAATGCCTGACATTTTTCCAAGTTTGATAAAAACTTTAAACTCACAGATTCAGGAAGCTTAATGAACTCCAAGGCAAGAAACCTGAAGAAAACTGTAGCAAGTCACCTCATAATCAAAATATGATACCATAGCATGTCATAATCAAAAACCTGTTCTAAAAAAACCTACACCAGTCATTCTCAACCAGGGATGATTTTACTTTTTTATATGGGAGAAAAACAACCCAGGAGGAATGAGAATGTGTGCATATTTGCTAATGCATGCATAAAAGAACTCTGAGAGGAGACACAGAGAACCAGTAACAGCAGCTCCCTGGGGGGTGGGACCGAAGGATAGAACAGGAAGGGGATAGAAAGGAGACTTCACTGCTTATCTTTTAATGTTTTTTAACATGAATATATTATCTATTCAAAAAAGTATATTAAAAGCACAACTATTATAAAAAGTGAAAATTCTCCATTTTCCTGTCTCCGCTTTCCTGCCTCAGCACCATTCCCTAGAGATTACTGATGTTCATAAGCCAATGTGTGTCTTTTTAAATTAGTTTCTTCTCTGCTTACACAAGCGTGAATATTCACCCATAGATTTAGTGGGTTTCCATTTGTTTTTTTATAAAAATAGGACCATACCTTACATGCTGTTTTGCAGTTTGACTTTTTTCTCCTAATCTGTCATGAATATCTTAGTTCCTGTAGTTCTGCCTCATCATTTTAAACAACCACATAATGTTCACTGTATGAATTACTCTGTATGAAAAACAAACCCCAATATAGTGTTGCATTTTCTAGCTAACTTTCTGTTTTTTATACACCAAAAAGGAACAAAGGTGATGGTTTTCTGCGAGCTCTTTAATAACTTTCCCTCCGCAGCAATCCGGGCGCCCTGGACCTCCCCAGTCTCACGAGTTTGCTGAGTGAAAAAGCCAAAGAATTCCTCATGGAGAACAGAGTGCAGAGCTTTTACCAGCAGGAGCTGGAAATGGTGGAGTCTTTGCTGTGCCTTGCCAATCAGCCTGTGATTCACAGTGCCTGCTCTGACCAAGTGAGTGCAGCATGCCCGCGTGAGAATTCTGGTTCCCTGCCCTAGATCTGCAACTGCAGGTATGGGTGAAAGTGACTGTGGCGTGAAGATTCACAGAGTTGACCCAGGGAACAGAGGGGATGGTTCTGTCACACATTGTTTCTATTGTGGAAAGGTCACTGACCACTAAGAACTTGAAATGAGGCATAAGGCTGGACCTGCCCCTACCCCTTCCTTAATTTTTTTTTTTTTTTTCTAGAGACACAATCTCACTCTGTCTCCCAGGCTGATGATTCTCCTGCCTCACAAGTAGCTGGGACCACAGGCATGTGCCATCATGCCTGGCTAACTGAGATAACTTTTTCTAAGAGGAATAAAAAATTAAAAAATAGAAAATTACTTAAGTGTTCCTTGAAATTTTACTCATAAACGACACTGAATGCAGCTCGGTCTTTATTTAAACTCCTAAAACACAATGGGTTAGTCTTGTTCTGAAAAAGACAGAGCAAGTCATTAAAAACCATGGTTCAAGTTCAAGAATCATTTTGCTGATCAATAAATCATCTTGGATGGATAATTACCTCCTCTTATCTACTTCCCTGTCACTTGGCTTCTGCTGAGATTAAACATCCATCTCAATGAATACTAACAACCTAGTACTATGGACCTTAGACTATTATTATTTTTTTCTACTCAAATATTAAGCACAATAAGATTAAGAAAGGAGGGGCTGGGTGCAGTGGCTCACACCTATAATCCCAGTATTTTGGGAGGTCAAGGTGGGCAGATCACTTGAAGCCAGGAGTTCGAGATCAGTGTGGCCAAAATGGTGAAATCTTGTCTCTACTAAAAATGCAAAAATGAGACAGGGTCTCACTCTGGGTGACCCTGACCCCTGACTGTCACCCAGAGTGAGACCCTGTCCCAAGAAGAAAAAGAAAAAAGAGAAAGTTATCTCCATGTTTTTACTCCTAGTGTTACTCAGGTAACTTGTTTGGTTGCTTGGTGTTGACGTATTGCTTGGAATTAAGAATTATTTGAGACATTGGTTTTAGGCTTTCCCTTTCATTACAGGTCTTAGGTTTGTTTTTGTTGTTGTAACATGACTCATTTATTTATATTCTTTATCCCACCAGGGAATGATCTCAGCTTAAATGTCCCTCCTTGCCCTCCCTGCCGTCTAGCTGCTCTGATTGCCATGTGGCCCCTCACTCTTACACCCTGTTTTTGTATCTGACATCACTGGTCTGTCTTTGTTTGCCTGCCTGTTCCTCCATCAGAATTTAAGTTCTGTGAGAGCAGAGGCCTTGTCTGTCTTATTCTTTGCTGTCTACCCAGGGCCTAGAACAGGGCTGGCATAAAGCAGATTCTCAGTAATTATTTGCTGATTGAAGGAATGAATGATTTTTAAAAGTTCAAATTGTCCCACAAAGTGTAAAGGTAAAGGTCAATTTCTTTCCCATCCTCCCTCTCACTCCCTTTCCCCTGAGACAAGCACCAGTACTGGTCTCTGGAATATCCTTCTGAGATAGTCTGTGCTTACATGTACTCGAAGTCATTGTAACCCCTTCTGTTTTACACAGATGTTAGCATGGCGTAGTATACTATGAGACACCTCACTTTTCATTGACGTGTGTCTTACAGATTCTTTCCTAGCTGTACATATAGGTTGGCCCCTACAGTCTTTTGTCACATGTACCATCATGTATGTGACCAGTCTCTCCGTTCCTGGACTGTTTAGATGTTTTCTAATCTTGCCATTACCAACAAGGCTGCTGTGAACACCCTTGCTAGGTAACATAAGTTGTTCTTGATTTTGGTGGAACAGATACTGAGTCACATCCTGACCTCCTGGGCATGACCACTGCTTCTCAGTTTTGTTTGTGGTCCTAATTATCTCTTCTGGGCAACAGCCTGATGTGCCCAGTGACCCATGGTTTCATACGGGAAGATGAGGGATATCGTTTCAGAAAACACTAAGGTGGAAAGGGTCACGACTGGCTGCTTTGTTCTTTGCCAAGGTTGCTTCAAACAGTTGCAGCGCTCCAGCTGTCAGCTGACAGCAAGATTGACCTTCTTCCCACTTAATCATTTAGAGGCAGCTCAAAGCCAAATTGACCTCCTAGGACTGCGGATGATTCTATCAGCATGTTTGGAAAGAAACTTTAAAGCTTAGCGAAGACCGTATTTTTCACGTGAAGCCAGCTCTTCTATGATAGCTATAATTAAGTAAAGAGAGAGACTTAAGGACTCTTTGAGGACTAAAAGACCCCTCCATTCAAAATGATCTGTGGGGAACCTTTGGCATATCTTTTTGAAAATGCTTACAGCAGAAACTTGTGTCTGCCTAGTGCTATATGTTTAAAAAGAATTGCATATGGTACTATATTTGTTTTGTCTTTGGAAACTCTTTTTTCTATCAATTATGAATTAGTCTCCCACATTGCTCTGGTTGGGGGAGGTCAGTGTGATTAAATTGAGTTCTGTTTAATAGATTCCTGGGAGACTAAAGGTGCTTTACAATGAGAGTGAAACCCTAGATCCTTTGGCACTTTCTGTTGTCATACAGATGAAAGCTTAACAAAAACAAATCATTGTGATGGTGTTATAGTTTAGAGGCAGAGAGAGAGCAGGCTTGAATGTTTCCTCCTTTTTTTCATAGTGGTCCTTCTTAGCAAATCCAGAAACATGATAAGCAGGGCCTGCAAAACCATTGTTTCTTTGACAGCTGGATGACTGCTGAGTTTGTTTGGGAATGAAGACTATATATATTTCAGGGATCCACCCAGTTCCTGACCTGAGATGAGGAGAGGCTTGGTAAGGCTCAGTACATTTAGCTAGTCACTGTTTTTTTCGTTTTCTGTCTGTGAGCAATTTCGGTTTCCTAAATCTGATGAGTCTGGCATTGCTCTTTTGAAAAAGACAACAAAGACACAGATCCCAGCCCAGGAAAAGCTGCTGGCTGGAAGAGACGATTAGTGGCTTTACCCTTGAGACTATGGTCTTTATAACTAGGCTAGGGAAATATGTCCCAAGGTCAGCTGAGGCAAATGTTTTTGGAAAGGAAGCTTCAAGTATTGTTTATATTTACAGAGAGACATTTCTGTTGAGTCCTCCTTGCTCACAGCTGAAACTGTGTTTTTAATCTCCCAGGCCTAGCATTCTCTCTTCCTGCTACTTGATCTTACTGAAATCTGGGAGGGGGAACTAGACTTTCTATATGGTTTTGGGATAACCAAAAGTCATTTTTAAAGACAGGAATAATCATGTAACAATCATCTCTAGTTAGTTTCCAATTTATTTCTATCTTGCTAAGAGATGTAATAAACCGAACCCTTAGGATCCTTACGTTAAATTGACTAAAGAATATAGATCTCCTTAGAATTATAAAGATTAAGTAGTTTTGAAGTTTTGCAAAGGAGTCTGTATCGCGCTGATGGTGCATCCCCTAAGAGCACTCAGGTATGAAATTAAAAGCAGTTTTTCCCTAAGCCTCTGTGAATAAAAAGATGTGTGGCTGAGGATTGCTAGGTGAGGTGTTTATTCTAAACACACCCAGAGAGCTTTTCTGCCTGTGGGAGTTGTCAAATATTTCTCAGCCTTATTCTCCCTTCAGAATGGAAGCTGTCCTAACCTGGAATGTTTGTCAGTTTTGGGGCCCTAATGATGAGGTTCTCCAGCTTGTTCTTTTAAGGGAAAACTTACACTGTTAATTCAATTAGAGTGTTAGGCTGTTATCGTTAGCCCAGGAGAGTACATTTGTGAAACATCACCAGGATCTCTTAGAGTAACAAAAAGCCTGTTTGGGAGGCCTGTTCTAGAAAGAGAAGGTTTCTCTGGGATGGACCTGTGAACACCTGAGACTCTATGGAGGCTCTTCCCTGTCCCCTTGAGGAAATGTCATTAGCAAATCTCAGCCACGCTTTTTCAGCACCTCTGGGTACTGCCCCATGTAGCCTTTGTAAGTACCTTTCAATAGAGGTAGGACTTGGCCTTCAAATGCTTTACTGGGAGCTTTGCCACATTTGTTTGGAACTCTGATCTTTTCAATATCTTGACAAATTTCTGTCACATTGAAAGTAGATCTGTAGGCCGGGCGTGGTGGCTCACACCTGTAATCCCAGCACTTTGGGAGTCCAAGCTGGGTGGATCACGAGGTCAGGAGATGGAGACCATCCTGGCTAACACGGTGAAACCCCGTCTCTACTAAAAATACAAAAAATTAGCCGGGTGTGGTGGCGGGCGCCTATAGTCCCAGCTACTCGAGAGACTGAGGCAGGAGAATGGCGTGAACCCGGGAGGCGGAGCTTGCAGTGAGCTGAGATCGCGCCACTGCACTCCAGCCTGGGTGACAGAGCGAGACTCCGTCTCAAAAAAAAAAAAAAAAAAGAATCTGTACTTTGAAGGGCAATTGTTGTTCGCCATTTTCTTTGTTTTAGGAAGGAGCGGAAAATCCCCAATGATACTCTCTAATGGGTATTTGTTTCCATTCGTCTCACATTTACTTTATCAGTCACCTAACATGTGCTAGGGAGTAGATGGCCAAGATGAAACAAAGTCCCTGACTCAAGAAGCACCCCATCTGGTCAAGCATAGCGGGACTAGCTGATAGCCTAGGTTCCCCGGGGATAAGAAGCCGGATGACCTGGATGACCCTCTCCAGGCAAACTTGTCTCTAGAGAAGGGAAGAAACACTGAAAGTGAGGGGGAGAGCTGACAGCAGCAGAGGTCCCTTCCAGGTGGGGACTGTGCTTCACCAGGACTGCTGTCTACCTTCAGCCTTGTGGACTCCCCTTGGTGGATCTCTGCTCAGCCTCTATTCTCCTCCAGCTAAAATAATGAGGCTATTTAATACTTCATGCTGGAGTCCCCAAATTATTCCCACTTACATAAAAATCGTTGAAGTCCCTAGGAAGAGATTGTTACAGCCTCAATTTTAATGGAAAAGGGGGCTAATATATATGTACAGTGTTTTGGTTTTGTGTAAAAAATAAGTCAAAGATTGTCCAACAGTGAGGGTAGCTTTTTTTATTCTGCACTACAGAGTGAGTTCGTTAAAAAAAAAAAAATCACAACGAAGGTATGGAACAGTTATGAAAGGTGACCTACCAGGGCCCACTTCTCAGTCCTCCTTAAATACCATCCTGCTACGGTGGTACATACCAGGATCTTTTTGACTCAGCAATTAAAAGGCCTGTTGGACAAATTCATGAACCAGTTGGTCTAGGGAGTTACTCTCAGGTGCTGTAAGGTGAGACTTATTTCTTTTCTTTTTTTCTTTTTCCTCTCTACGCAGGTGAATTTTAAGAAGGACACCACTTCCAAGGCAATTCATAGTATATTTAAGAATGCTATACAACTGCTGCGGGAAAAAGGACTTGTTTTCCAGAAAGATGATGGTTTTGATAACCTGTACTATGTAAGACACTTACAACTTAACTTTTTTTCCTTCGTAGCTTCAATTACAAATATATTTATTACTTATGAATAACTACTTAATTATTATTAAAAATCATTAAGGAGGTACATAAAATCGGAAGTCAAAGTTGGTCCTTATCCTTCCCCAAGGTATCTCTTTTAATAATAGTTGACCTATGAACCGCACAAGTTTGAACTGTGTGGGTCCACTTATATGCAAACTGTTTCAGCCAAATGCAGATGGAAAGTACAGTATTTGCAGATGTGAAACCCACATACGAGAAAGGCTAATTTTTCATACATGCGAGTTTCACAGAGCCAACTTCAGGACTTGAGTGTGTGTGGATTTGGGTATACCTGAGGGTCCTGGAACTGATCCACCGAGTATACCGAGAGACAACTGTATATCCTTCTAGACGTTTATCTGTACATTTACAAATGCATACATATAAATATATGCTCCTGTGGCTTTTTAATTGTTTCAAAGTCCTGGCTTATGCAAGAGGCTTTTTGTTTTATAAAAAATGTGATCATCTTCTAAATCAACATTTCTCAATCTGAACACTATTCGGGCTAGGTGATTGAGTGTCGTGGGAGCCGTCCTGTGCATTGCAGGATATTTAGGAGTATCCCTGACCTTCACCTACTGGAGACCAGTAGCAGCACCCCAATTGTGACAACCAAAAATGTCCCTGGACATTGCCAAATGTCTCCTGGGACCACTGAGACTTGCTACTCTATATAATGCTCTACACCTTTTTTGGTACCAAAATAACACGTCACAGGCACCTTTCCACATTAGTAGTTATAAATCTACCTCATTATTTTTAACATCCTCAGGGCATTCCATACTATGGGTACCTGTCGTGTATTTTTTAGCCATTCCTTTTTGATGGATACTTAGGGTATTTCTAAGTTTTGCTGTCACAAATAGTGTTGCTATGACTATTTTTGCACAACTATGTTTGTGAACTCATGTCAGTATTTCTGTAAGATTGACTCTTAAAAGAAGAGCTGCTGGAGCAGATGGCATGGCCATTTAAGCTTTTGGTTGACACATTGTGGTGGGCCTACCTGAAGGCTGTACCAGTTGACTCTCAGCAGGAGTATGGGTGCTTGTTTGCCTCACTCTTTCCAAGTTAAAAGTTCGCCTTTTTCTGCATACTTTTAATATTGGAGGAGCTAAGCTGGAAATGGGCCTTCTCAGGACCACTGACATCAGTGGTGTGGACTCAGTTACGTGCAGCTCTCCCAGAGACTGATCAAATTCCAGAAGTCTCACTATTTACAGGCAAGAGTCCCGAGGGGGAGCTTTTCTTAATATGTCATTTCCTGATGTTGATTTACCCCTAGTGACTCCCCACTTTAGAGGAATTTTAGAAATTAACAATACCATTTAAATAACTTTTGAAACAGGTATCCCAGTCTACATAAGGGCGAGTGCCTCCCACACCATCCCAGGATGGGAGTCCTGGCGTGGGAAGGCTGGGTGGGAGTTAGTTGCTTCCTGGAAGCTGGAGAAGCTCATGGGGGCAGCTCACCTCGAGCCCCGCTCTGGGACACACGTTTCCTCCCAGCCCTTCAGAGAGCAGCCCTTCCTGAGGAGCAGCAGTCCAGGGCAAGGCGTGGCGGGGCTGGGCACTTCCTCGTGTGAATCATTGTGATCAAGCATAAATAGATCTCTTTTTGCCATCTGTGACTTCACCCCTCCACTGCTTTGTAGTCACCTTTCTCCTGAAGCCCTGCCTTAGGGAAATGGTTAAAATAAGTCAACACTTCTGTTTGCCTAGTGCTTTCCTGCATTCAGCAGCTCTCACACATGACCTTGTTTAATCTTCGTCATAACCTCTTGAGCTGAGAGAAGGCAGGTGTTCTCAGGATGCCCCCTCCAGTAAAGCAGGTCAGACAGGCATTCTGGGGCTGTCTTTAAGGAGGAAACTTACAGCTATTTGTTTGCATGTCTATTTTCTTTCTTCCTTTCTTCCTCTCCCTTTTTCTCTTTCTTTTTTTCTTTCTCTTTCTCTCTTTTTTTGTTACTAGATTCACTGTGGAACATGAAGGTGAAACCCGTTGCATGCTGCTTCCCTCTTATCTGAGCTGATTGGAAAAGACTAAGTTGGCCAGGCGCAGTGGCTCACGCCTGTAATCCCAGCACTTTGGGAGGCTAAGTCGGGTAGATCACTTGAGGTCAGGCTTCGAGAACAGGCTGGTCAACATGGTGAAACCCTCATCTCTACTAAAAATACAAAAATTAGCTAGACGTGGTGGTGCACGCTTATAATCCCAGCTACTCGGGAGGCTGAGGCAGGAGAATCACTTGAACCCAGGAGGCAGAGGTTGCAGTGAGCCAAGATCAGGCCACTGCACTCTAGCCTGGGCGATAAGAGTGAGATTCCGTCTCAAAAAAAAAAAAAAAAAATGGAAAAAGAAAAAGACTAAGTTATGTCTGCCTTTGAGAGCAGAACGTGTTTTGGTGGATAGGCCAGCTTTACTTGCATGCTAGCTTGCTAGCTTGCCCTTGCAGGGTTTTTGGTTTTTTTCTCTTATTTTTCCTTGTGGTTGGGAGAAGCAAGAAAACTGATATAACACAAGACAGGTGTCACGGCTCAGAAGAAGAGGTCATGGGGTGAAGATCGGAGGCCTTGATCACTGTGCCTTGCTCAAAACTATAACGACAAATAAGAGAAATGTGTTATGAGTGTTGAAGAAGAAAGTTAGTTGCTCCTTAAAAGTATGCAATTCCAGCTTTTTTTTGTTTTAACCTCATTGCCCCAGTGAACCAACCAACTCCCAAGGACGTGTCCTCTGGGCAGAACTGGTTTGACACTAGGCCAAGTATCAAACACCACATCGATGGTGTAGGGATGATTGTTATGAAATCTTTAGAAGCTATCCTGAATACTAATTTGGGAGTCTGGATGACACAACTGCTGTGTTGCCTAAGAACACACTCTCTCTCAACTATTTTTCCTATTTAGGTAACCAGAGAAGACAAAGACCTGCACAGAAAGATCCACCAGATCATTCAGCAGGACTGCCAGAAACCAAATCGTAAGTGGCATATAATGTACAAGTGACACCCTGGTGCCCTGGAAGGGGATACTGTCTCCCGGGGAGCACTGGATGGAGAGTCAGGAGACCTGGGACTTTTCCCAGTAATGACTTGGAAAGGCGATAGTCAAAGTACCTGCCCTCCCTGAGCCTCCATCTCCTCTCTAAACGAGTGTTAGGCTAGCACAATTGTTGTAACCTTGGCTATACATAAGATTCAGCCCTGGAGCTCTCTAAACGTTCAGAGCCCAGATTCTACCCTGGGGATTCTGTTTCTATAGAGGATGAGCTGGGGGCTAGACAGGGAATTCTGATACAGTGAGGTAAGGTCACCACACTAGGACGTTTTGATGTCATTCTGCTTCTCATGTTCTCTCTGATTTGTGTTAGTTCCTATTTCATGCTTGCCCCTTTTCTTTGAACACAAACCTGATATTTCCCTCTATTCTAACATCAAAGTCTTTCAGTGTTGGAAGGAATGGTTCTAGACATGACAGTTTATGAACGGTGTAATTCAGTCATCTTGGAAACTGATAATTTGCAAAAGAAATGGTTTAGAACATGGTTTTAGTAGAGTTAGTTCAGCCCCTAGTGGTTAGACTCTGAAACTGTAGCTAGTCTGACAAGGAATAATACCATTTCCACACTAGTTAGAAAGAGAAGAAAGCATGAGTCCCATCTTTAAATGCTATGTAAACTGACCGATCTTAAAGGTGACTTTTCAAAGTCTAGCTTTTGCAAACACGTACTATAATAAGAAGTGTTTAAAAGGTTTGTTAATGACCCCAAGTCCCTGATCTGCCAGTGAACTCCACCTCCAGTCCTTCAGCCCATACATCCCTGGGGCCTGGCCCTGTGCCAGGTTGAGTCAGTGGGTGAAGCTGGGCCAGGTTTCCAGCCCCAGTATTTATGGTAGACAGCCCTAGTTAACCTTTAAGAAGCCATGAGGTCGGATCCCAGAGTGGTGTGACAGCAGCTCTTAAACTCAAAGCAATGTATTATTTCAATGCAAGTGAATGGACTTTGTTCACTTCATTCAGAACAATAAGAACAAATATCCTTCAGTTGAGGGAAAAGTCCATCTGTCCGCAATTGAAGGAGCTTTTGAGAGCAGTGCAATGTGGGATTCCTCAGCCAAGAAGGGATGAGAAGATGCTCCCAAGATAACATCGATGCAGTCACCCTAGTCATGGGCCTCCTGGCCAGATTCTTATTTTCATCGGCATTAGGAATAGAATGGATTGAACCCTAGGGCTCCTAGGGCTAGTAAAGCACATGAAAACAATTCACATTTCATTTGGACTTGGCTCTCTGAAGTGTCCTGAAAGTGGCAGGTTTAACATCTATATCTACCCATAGCTCATCAAGTGGACAGGCCCTGCCACTCAGTCTGTGAATGGGAGCCTCTAAAAGCCACTAGCCAATCACCTGGCCCTCTACACTCCCAGGAGCCGAATTCTGAAGCCTGAATTACTGACAATGCTGATAAAAGATGTAAGAACTGTGTTGGAACCTGCACCCCACTTCATAATGTCGTAACATAGCAATTCAGAATAGTAATGTATGTGCCTCATAAAAAGCCAAGCAGTGCAAAAATACACACCAAAAAGTCAGACTCCCTCCCAGCACTGAGCCCCAGCTTCTGTGTTCTCCTCTCCAAAGGCAGTGGTTGTTATTAGTTACTTGTATATCCTGTTGGATATGTGTTCTTTATCAAGGATAAACTATGCAGATATGTACTTACAACATATCTGTATTATTTATCCTTGATAGAAAACACAAGGGAAGGCCGGGCGCGGTGGCTCAAGTCTGTAATCCCAGCACTTTGGGAGGCCGAGACGGGCGGATCACGAGGTCAAGAGATCGAGACCATCCTGGCTAACACGGTGAAACCCCGTCTCTACTAAAAAATACAAAAACTAGCCGGGCGAGGTGGCGGGCGCCTGTAGTCCCAGCTACTCGGGAGGCTGAGGCGGGAGAATGGCGTGAACCCGGGAGGCGGAGTTTGCAGTGAGCTGAGATCCGGCCACTGCAGTCCAGCCTGGGCGACAGAGCGAGACTCCGTCTCAAAAAAAAAGAAAAAAAAAAAAAAAAGAGAAAACACAAGGGAAGTTTAGCCGATGATATACATTGTCCCATACCTTGTATTTTAGATCTAACATTGCCTTCTAGAGGTCATTTGCCAACAGTACACATAAAAGTGTCTACGTCTTTTCATTAGCTGGACAGTATGCTGTTATACATGTAGGTAAATATCCAACCCTCGATCTAACCATTCCTACTGTGCCTTTAGTTCCTTTCTAACCTTTCATACAGAATATAGCCTGGAGTTTTTCCTTGTCAGGATGATTGGTAGAAGGACTCGAAGTCATTTATGAGTGTCTCACAAAGGCTCACCCTTCAATAATGAAAGGACTGTGAACATCAAGCCTGTCTTAAGTCCCTGAAGGATTGATATTTGTTTTCTGAAGATGGGCAGTGTGGCGGCATTGTGAGGAGCTGTGCTCTGGAGCCACCTTGCCTAGGTTTGAATCCCAGCTCTGCCACTTGGTAGCTGTGTAACATCGGGCAAGTGTCTCGGGTTCTTTAAATGCAAAGTGGGGATAATAATAGTACCTACACGATGGGTTTTTATAAGAAGTCAATGAATGGGCATTTAGAAAGTTAGAAGAGTACTCAGTGCATAATTGAGATCCAAAAAGTGTTAAATAAAAATGAAGTTCTTTTCTAATGGCACAAGTGGTAGCCCCTAATTCTCTAGCTTGGAGGCCTGAAGGCTCACCTTCTACTTGGTTTATTGATCTGGAAGGAAGCAGTTTCAGAGATAATCTGTATGTGGATTTTTCTCTATTATTGTTGGAGTAAAGTTGACAAAATCTGGATTTTGGCTTTCTGTATGGGTACAATAATGGCAAATTATCCAAAAAGAAAGAGTTCTATGTTGAACATGTCTTTTTATCTCTAACTTTTTACCTGAAAATGTTCCAATTTATCAAAAAAAGTTAAAAGACTGCTACACTAAACACTGATATACCCTTCACCTAGACTGACTAAAAGCTTCAGTTTGTATTTGCTGAGCATGGGGACCTTCTCCTGTTTGATCACCAAATCATTTCACACCTAAGAAAATGAACATTTGGTGAGTTCCAAAACAGCAGCCTTTCACTAAATGTTCCTTTATACCATTAGCTTTCCAAAAATCTCCCGTGTATTTAGCTCAGGTTCATTTTTTACTAACCCAGAGCTGGAGAGAACTGCTGCTTTTGGTACAAACTGAGTACCATATAACACTCCTCATACTGGAGGATTTTTTTTTTAACTTACAACAAACTTTTAAAAAAGAATTAAAGAAGTTTAACCTTTTGTAGTTATAGTAGTAGGTTATATCTAAAATGTATCTTTATGTCACTTGGGTCTCTAGAACATCAGCATTTGTGCTTTCTGGTGGAGGTATGATGGGGTATAGTATGAATCAGGCTGCATGCGAAAGTTCTTGGGAAAATATAAGGTGCAGTTATCACCGCTCACAGAGATCCATCATGAGATAACTATGTCTGCCAGGCAAACACTTTTCAGAAAAGTCTGCTTCGGCTTGTGGGTTTGTTCCAGAAGAGTCGAATTATGTAATTGAACTAACCACTGGGGACCTCCTTGCTGGCCTTTCCTACTTTTACTGTTTTCTAATAATTTCTCACTTAGAGAAGAATCTAAGGCCAGGCATGGTGGCTCACTCCCATAATCCCAGTGCTTGGGAGGATTGCTTAGGCCAGGAGTTTGAGACCAGCCTGGGCAACATAGGAAGACCCTGTCTCTACAAAAAATAAAAATTAAAAATAGAGAGGAGTCTAAGTTCACATTACCCATGTGACTGGAAATCACTTTTGAACAGCCTCTCCAGATAACCCTCAGCAGAACAGCCTTTCTGAATAAATAGTTGAAGGCCTCTGAGACAGCATCACTGCTTCGGGCCCCACGGGTGCCTGTAAGTCATCTTGAGCCCTGGGTCCAAGCATCCAAGCCTTGCAGAAACTAAAGGCTGAGCAGGACTAAATTGCTTGTGCTTCTCCCTACCGTGTGCAGGTCTGTGTGGTTGGAGCCCCTCACCCTCCATCATCAAACCTATCCTCGCTTGCTGGTCAGCTCTTCCTCCTTGAAAGGCTTTTCTTCTTGGGAAGGGCTGAGTTCCTTCTCTAGAGCAGGAACTAAGTTACATTCATCTTCTTGGGTTATGGATATGATGAACCAAATCATAGTAGTTCCCCCTGGTCTCTCATCCACACAGCCACCCTGAGAAGGAGGTGGTTTTGTTCCCGGGAATGACTTTGTCCCAGTTGTAGAGCCAGGGCTTGAATTCAGGTATGGTGGACTCCAGTGGCAGCTCTCAGTCTGCCGAGCTCTACTTGCTCCTCCTTGCTCAGCACTGCACACATAGTAGGTGTTCAGGAAGTCTATGGAGTGAATGTTGAAGAAACAGCCTGGAAGTGTGGACGCTAGCAATCCCAATCGGGAGGAGTAATGAGTGGACACAGCCACTAGAGGTCAGAATTTAGCAAATCTTTGTTAGCCCAGGAGCAGTCTCTGAACCTTAGGGTTGGAAAGGGCCTTGAAAGTGGTTTTCACGACAGCTGAGAACACTGAGGCCTAGGGATGACTTGCCCAAAGCTACAGAAGTGCACCAAACGTTGAACCATGCTTTGCCTTACACTGCAACACCTCTTCAAGCACCTTCCCGAAGCCTAAAGCATTTTTCATCTGAAAACAACTTTCAGTGACTGTGTGGAGCACGTTTTGTGTGCCAGGTGGTACTGGGTATACAGCAGAGAGAGACCGTACCTGGCCCTACCATGGAGTTTTAAACTGTGACAACTGGAGGGGGTTTGCTTTTGGTAAAGAAGTTTGACTTTGACTCAAAGTTAGAAATATATTTTACATCATGACCCAATAAATTATATAATTCTAATGCATAAGATATATATGGAATAAAGTTTCATGAATTAATATGTATCCAAATTACAATGCAAGATATTCTGTAATGTTCTATTTCTGCTCTCTTTTAGTTTGGTAAGAAAAAGAATGCTGATCGCAACCTACAAAAATTGGTTTCATGATCCCCTAATAGGCACAACCCTCAGTTTGACTACTGCCAACCTAAAAGGAAGGAGCTGAGGCAGAATTAATACAAGTAGAGAGCTGATTTGGGCCAAGTTTCAGGATTGCAGCTGGGGAGCACAGATTCAGGTTTCTCTGAATATACACTCTGATGAGCAGCAGTGATAAGTGGATTTTTTTTTTTTTTTTGAGATGGAGTCTCACTCTGTCACCCAGGTTGGAGTACAGTGGTGCAATCTCAGCTCACTGCAATCTCCGCCTCCCGGATTCAAGTGATTCTCCTGCCTCAGTCTCCTGACTAACTAGGATTACAGGTGCACGCCACCACACCTGGCTAATTTTTGTATTTTTAGTAAAGATGAGGTTTCACCATGTTGGCCAGGCTGGTCTCAAACTCCCAACCTCAGGTGATCCACCCACCTCAGCCTCCCAAAGTTCTGGGATTACAGGCGTGAGCCATGCGCCTGGCCCATAAGTGGATTTTTAAAAGCCAAAAAGGAGGACAGAGTTGATACAAAGTTGTTTGTCAGGAATTCTCATTGGTTTATAGATAACATTGATTGGTGACTGGCTATACATTGTTAAGCTATAGAGTGTGGATTATAGTGTTCAATTTCACATAATTAGGCTAATTTATAACGACTTGTGCCAATAGCAAACAGTTTCCAAGGTGAATGCATAGTGAGGAGCAGAGCGTGATTGCCGTTTCATCGTCGTGTCTCTCAGGGCCTGATAATTAAAAGGACTTGCATTCTTCCTATTTTGTTTTCTCATTACCAGTGTTTAGGTCATTGATTTCAACTAGGAAAGAGGTTGTTAACTCTGAGTTTGTATTGTTGTGTGCCAGATGGTCTTAGTTTTGGGCAGAGGATAAGAGGTTACTAGGAATACAACTATCACAGATGAGACTTTTGGAAGCCAGGAAGAGAGGAATGAGAACAGGCCAAAGGTAGGAATCCCTTCTCACCAGGCAGCCCCATCAAATCAGGACTTAGAGGGAAGCATACGGAGGCTGCAGCAAACCAGCTCTGCTGTGAGTCTCAAGAGGGCTCCCCCTTGAGAAGCTAGAGGTTTGGCACTGAATAGGTTACACTTATACATGTAATTACCCCAGAGAAAAAAGTTTATCAAGCACTAAAAATCCACTAGGTTATGGATAAAAAAAAAAAAATCTTTGATTGGGAATCCTTGAAGGTTGAAGTTCAGAGTCCCTGAGCAGTGGCTCCACGTCGCCGTGGTGACATCAGGGGCCTGAGAACAGGTGTTTCTGTTTTGTTTTTGTGATCATATAGATAATGCATCTCAGACTTTAATGTGCATAAGGATCATCTGGGGATCTGGTCAGAATGCAGGTGCCCAGACAGGAGGTATGGAGAGGACAGAGGAGGGCCTGACAGTTGTGACCGCGCTCAGCCACCCGCCTTTTTCCTGCAGACATGGAGAAGGGCTGTCACTTCCTGCACATCTTGGCCTGCGCTCGCCTGAGCATTCGCCCGGGCCTGAGTGAGGCTGTGCTGCAGCAGGTTCTGGAGCTCCTGGAGGACCAGAGTGACATCGTCAGCACAATGGAGCACTACTACACGGCGTTCTGAGCAGAGACACGCAGACCAGCTGAGGAGGACAAAGATAAGGTGGCGTTCACTCCCAGGCTCTGACTTTCAACATCATGCAGGGGCTTGTCTGTCTGGAGGCAGTTACCTCATAATAAACTATAAAATATGGTCATTTTGGGAATGGGATTTGGCATAAATGTGGTTGGCTGCCTTCTGTCTGCTGTGTCCTTGGGGTACAATGACTTTGATCGCAGCCATGACACAACAAGAAAACCCTCCCAGTTGACCTCCTGGCTGGACTGCGCATTGTTCGCAGAGCAGAATGGGGCGGAAACAGTGTTGGCAGCTTAACTGATGTGTGTGGTTGGAGTCTCTACCATGGCAAAGGGACACCACAGGGTAGTGAACATTCAGGAACTGAAGGGCATGTGGCCTGATCACACAGTTCCAAGCTTTTCAAAACTTCAGGTTATCAGAGACCTTCCTGTGGGCCTCTCTTGATGGCTAAGAACCAGTTTAGGGGAGTAGTTCTCTCTGGATGAGTGTCACTTGCTTACAGTTTCTGTGACTCAAGTACCAGCAGTGGGGTTGAGACCTGGGTTGATGTTATTTACAAGCCTGCCCAGAGATGGGAATAAACAGAGATCCACGGCATGACTATATGTTTGTCATTTTCCTTTTATTTCCTTGGGAATCGAAAGGTGTCCCAGTACATTTCCCTGCACTTGCAGAGGTGCATGACTAAATACATTGTCCCTCAATGCCCCTGAAGATCACAGAGGCAGTCAGCCAATTGCCTGGCAGGCAGTAGATGTTATTTTCAGGGTTGCCGCTGAGTGTGCAGGATGTGCTGACACCATCCAGACAAAGACTCGGTATGTGCCCAGACAGGTGATGGAGTCATGCTTTTGCTCAGAATGACAAGGTAAAGGAAAAACATCTGAGGTATGTTGTAGGCCTGTTCTGACAGCAAAATGACAAATCCAGCCAGCAAAAATAAAGTGTGGAGAAAGATTTGGAGTTAATTACAGTCATTTAACAGAAGGCACTGCCTTCGTCTGCCGCATTTGCGCTTGATGTAATAAGCTCTTCGTGGCTCAGCTGGAGATCCTTTAGGCCTGGAGAGTTGCTCCTCTCTCCATGGAAACAGGACAGTCTTTATACACAGAAGTCCTCTGCAGCTGGATATGTCAGGCTGAGAGCTAGGACCAGTGGATTGCCTCCTGTCATAGACTTTTGGCAAACCTGTGCTGATTTCTGAAAGTGATTATGTGGCTGCCCTGCATCTTCTCTGTGTACAGAAGGGTCCCTAGAATAGAGTCTGCCTGGAATGATGTCCTGGGCAGTTCTTCCTTGAGGTCAGCAGCTCTTCCACATGGAATGCGTCTTTGATTAGTGGGGCTGCCCAGCAAGGAGTCCAGAATCAGAAGGTAAAAAGGGCATACCCTTGCCTACAGCAACTCTGCTCTTAGGGTTTATCTCAGGGAGATGACCACACCAGTGTGAAAGGATGATTGCACAAGATGCTCATTGCTGTGTAATCTAGAATTCTATATTGGGGAAAATATCTATAGGGAAAAAGTTAATTACGGTTCTTAGGCACAGTGAAATGCTATGCAGCCATGAAAAAAATGAATGCAGACAGTGTTGCCATGGCATACTGTCCCCAGTAGATTTAGTGGCAAGTAGATAGAGTTATAGATCTGTTTCTATAGGATAACACCATTATCTACAGCTCCCTGCGTGTATGTATATATCCGTAGAGAGAATGTATATTTCTGCATGGAGGTCTTTATAAATGTAGCACATGTGTATATATACATACAGTCGACCGCTCCCTTCTCCTGGAAGTACTTTCCGCATTGGGCTTTCAGGACACTGAGCTCTCTGGTTGCTCCTTCTCGGGTTCCTTTGTTCAGTGCTCTGCCTCCCTGAGGGCTCAGTCCCAGACCTCTTTTCTATCTGGCTTGCTCCCTGGGGGGTCTCCAGCAACCACATGGATTATACCATCTACATGCTGTCCAACTCCTCAATTTAAACCCAAAATGGGCCTCTTCCCTGAACTGCAGACCCCTACATCCAGTTTGCTACTGACATATCCACTTAGGTCTCTAATGGACATCTCAAACTTCATAGGCCCAAAGCCAGGCTCCCAATTACTCCTGACCCCAGGCTTGCTCCTGATAGCAACATGAGGCAGCCAAATGCCTAGGCAGAGAGGGGCGGGTCCCAAATGAAACCCCACGTTCAAGTGAAGAACAGCCTGAAGGCTAAAAGACCAGACTGCTGGTCCTGGATGAAACCCACCACCCAGAGTGGAAACTTCTGTTCCTGTTTGCCTACCCTTTCCCAATCGATTCTTTCTGAATAAACGCCTTAACCAATCGAATGTTGCCTTTTCCAATAATACCTATAGCCTGCCCCTCCCCCATTCTGAGCCCATAAAAAGACCCAGACTCAACTGTATTAGGGGGACTTTCCCGCCTTTGGGTAGGGGGACCACCCCCGTGTCCCCTCTCTGCTGAAAGCTGTTTCATCACTCAATAAAACTCCCAGCTTTGCTCATTCTTCCACTGTCAGCACATTCTCATTCTTCTTGGGCGCTGGGCAAGAACTCAACCAGTGTGTAAGCCATACTTCGCCCAGGCGGGTGAAGTGGGCGGGCCGTCTCCTGCAGCAGGTAGCATTATCAAGCAAGGCCCAGGCGGGGAGTCACCAGCCAGAGGTCCCTGGCTTGCAAAGTAACCGAGAAAAAAAATGCTGCGCCACTCCTTTGGAAAATTTCCCTGATTCAGGAAGAGGCAGCTCCATCATCCAGTTGCTCAGACCGAATCCGTTGGCTTCTTTCTATCATACCTCACATCCAATCTGTCTGTAAGTAATTTGGCTCTACCTTCAAAATATCTCCAGAATCTTAACTGCTTCTCCCTCCTCCCGGCCTCCTGACAGTTCTCCCTGCTTCCACCCCGGCCCGTCTTGGGCTGTTCACAGCACAGCAGCTGCTGCCACCCTGTTACGCTCCCACTCTCCTACAGCCTTTGGTCTTGCCCCAGGTAGGAGCCTGAGGCTGCACAGAGGTCAGCACAGCCCCGCTTGCCCTGCTCTCCTGCCCTCCCAGCCCAGCTGCATAGGCCTTGCTGCACACACGCCTCGGCATATTCCTGCCTTAGGGCCGGTGCTCCCACTGTTTCCTCTTCCCAGGTAAGCAAGTGAAGTGCCTCCTTCTGCCCTCTTTCCAGTCTTTACTTGAGTGTCACCTTCTCGGCAAGGCCTGCCCTCATTCCTCTTTCGTTGTTTGTAACCTGCCTCCTGTCCCCCTTCCCAGAACTCCCTTTCCTACTTCATTTTTCTTCGCAGTGTTTGATACTGCCTAACACACTCCATGGTTTCTTACTTGCCCTATTTATTATTTTTCCCTAATAGACAGAATGTTCCATGACGGCAGAATTCTCTGTTTTGTTTCCTTCCATGTCCCTAGCACCTAGAACAGTGCCTGACACATCTCCTAAGCAATACGACCAATAAGTGTGTGTGTGTCTGGCTGCCTTCCAGCTGCCAGTGTCTGCCTCTGGGCTGCCAGTGTCTGCTTCCTGGCTGCCAGTGTCTGCCTCTTTCCTGAGGGCAGCGATTGGGGGAGGTGCTTTCTCGCACGTCTTAGTAGGCTGTGCAGGTTGGACGTGCTCAGAAGTCACACCCCCAGGGAGCAGCCTCAGCCAACAGCACCTTAGGTATAAATGCCCCAGCTCCCTCGCCCTCAGGTAAGCATTGCCAAGGCACATGTTCCACACTCTTTTCCAGAGTTCCTCTGTGGGACTGAGCACCATCCATCCACCCACAGGAGCAGCTAACCTGATAACTACCAGCCTCACCCTCCCTGCCTTACTTCCCTGTTCCTCTTTACCACATGCTGACCTCCCAAATGCATTTCTTGCTTTCCGGTCTCTGTCTCAGGATTGGCTCCTGGATGAACACAAACACTGTGTTCACAAATATATTTGGGAAATGCTGAATGAATAATTATACACATCAGACAGATTACTAGAAATGCTCACCAAAGGAATGCACGTGTTACCTCTGCATGGTGAGATCTCAGGTGCTTTTTACCCCACATAGCTATCCTTTGGCAGTTTTATAATTAGCAAATGCTCACCCTTCCACCGTCAGTACATTCTCATTCTTCTTGGGTGCTGGACAAGAATTCAACCGGTGTGTAAGCCAGACTCGGCCCAGGTGGTCTCAAACTCCTGACTCCTTACATAATTTCTACCACACTCATGTAACCTGAAACATGAGTAAACCAAAAATGAGGTAGGCCTCTGTCTTCTACAGCAACATCAGAACTCTAAGAACATGAGGGACTCTTAGAAAACTCTCTGGAGCTAACCACAGTTGGGTCACAGCTCATGTACTGAAGACCAGCCAGAAGGTTCCCCTGAAAAGGAGGGAAACTGAGCAAACATTCTCCAGTTCTCTTGGTGTGCACGTGTTTCAGGAGGTGTGAACCCCACATGTAGCTTATGTAGGCAGGAAGACAAATAGTGCTACTGTCTGGTCAAGGATTTGTTTGAAGAGCCATGATTATCCCCATATGGTAAGCTACCAGTGCTCCGCATCCCTGTAAGACACTTCTTTCTCATTACTTTCTCCTCTGATGGTGTGCCAGGACGCTGGTCGAGAGAAGCCAAGTGGAAAGAAGGCTGTTCAGTGACGAGGAACCTAAGACTTAGTGCCAAGGACTGAAACCAAGTAAACTTGTAATTTTCCATGATGGAAACATCTACGCTTTCTCATTAGTGGCCTTTACAGCAGTTACCCCAAAGAAGTGTCTCATTGTTTTCTTACTACATTTATGTGAAGCATACAGGCAAACTCAGAAAGACTGTGATAAGACTCACCAGAGATAACTGCACAGGTGCTGGGGGAAAAGCAGGACCATCCTGGAGGGAGATGGTGTCTGTGGACAAAGAACTCTGCAGTGGTTCTTATTTGCATGACTTCCACTGGTGGAGGCTCTAAATATGAGCTCAAACTCCCACGTAAGTGAGTTTTCATTGTAATCCAGAATTTTTTTAACATCAGCCTACTTCTATTGAACTTGCACTATCATCTGTTAGCCTCTACTATATTTATTAAATAAACCTAAATAGGTAAATCACAGTACAGCAAAAGGTTCTGTGTTCCCCAGAATTCTAAATCCAACTCCAAATTCCTGAAGAGGCCCTAGTCGTTTCCTATATGTCAAATTTAAATGATAGGTTTTCATTTTGGAACATAAAGAGAGGGATTTTGAAGACCACAGCATAGCCCTGGGGTTTTTGGATAGAGATAATAAAGAGACAATCAGTTCTCAAACAGATTTGAGAAAATGTCAGTGTGAACTGGTGAAAAATCTGGGTTGGAAATAGTGCCGTTTTATTAATTCAGGTCTACCCAGTGGTCTTTATTAAACCTGAATTACCATGAAGGAACCGGTTTCTGCTCTTAGGGAATTTGCTTTAATAAGAACTAATTGTGTATCAGTTACTAGGATCATTTAATTGTTATGTATTTATCATTTAATATTTAGGTGATGTAAAAGTACTTCAACACAAGAGAATTGAAAACATGGCCACACAAACACTTGTAAGCAAATGTTCACAGCAGCATTATTCCTAATAACCAAAAAGTCGAAACAACCCAAATGTCCATCAGTCAGTGAATGGATAAACAAAAAGTGGGCTATCCATACAATACAACATTACTCAATGAAGTACTAATATATCCTAAAGTATAGTGAACCTGGAAGAAATTAAGTGCAAGAAGCTAGACACAAAAGACCACATGTTGTATGATTCCATTTATATGAAATGTCCAGAAAACAGGCACATCCACAGAGAAGTAGATGAGGCCGAGTGCAGTGGGTCACACCTGTAATCCCAGCACTTTCGGAGGCCGAAGTGGGCAGATCACCTGAGGTCAGGAGTTCAAGACCAACCTGGCCATGGCTAAACCCCATCTCAACTAAAAAGTACAAAAGTTAGCCGGGCATGCTGGTAGGCACCTATAATCCCAGCTATTCGGGAGGCTGAGGCAGGGAGAATTGCTTGAACCTGGGAGGCAGAGGTTTCAGTGAGCCGAGATCATGCCACTACACTCCAGTCTGGGCGACAAAGCGAGACTCTGTCTCAAAAAAAAAAAAAAAAAGAGATGAATGTTGCCAGGCATGGGGAGGGTGGGGATTGGGTGGTACAGGGCTCCTTTTGGGGTTAATGGACGTGTTCTGGAATTAGATAGTGGTGATGTGTGTACAACTCTGTGAACAGACTCAGAACTATGGGCTAAGTTGGGATTCCTCACATCATGGTGTCTGGGTTTCCAGGGCAGGCATTCCAAGAGATAGCAAGAGCCACATGGAAGCCACATGGCCATTTTTGTGTAGCCCCAGAAGCCACAGCCTCACTTCCATGGCCTTCTAATTGTTGAGGCTATCACAAAGTCCCATGCAGGTTCGAGAGGAGAGGAATAAACTCCACCTCTTGATGGGGAGTAACGAGGTTCTAGAAGGGCACATAGGTCCGGGAATATTGCCCTGGCCATGTTGGGAAATACAGTCTCTCACAGATATCTTTCAGCTTTTATATAATACAGCATCATTCTTTAAAGAGCTAGTGTTAAAAATACCAAAAAAGTACAAAGAAGGGGAAAGAATGGTCTACCACTTCCCAAATACTGTGTGTATCTATGTATATATATCTGTGTATCTATATCTATATATACATACACACACACACACACACACATATATATATTTTTTTTTTTTTTTTTTTTTTGAGACGGAGTTTCACTCTAGTTGCCCAGGCTAGAGTGCAGTGGTGTGATCTCGCCTCACCGCAACCTCCACTTCCCGGGTTCAGGCAATTCTCCTGCCTCGGCCTCCTGAGTAGCTGGGATTTCAGGCATGTGTCACCATGCCCTGCTAATTCTGTATTTTTAGTAGAGACGGGGTTTCTCTATGTTGGTCAGGCTGGTCTCGACCTCCCGACTCAGGTGATCCACCTGCCTCAGCCTCCCAAAGTGCTGGGATTACAGGCGCGAGCCACCATGCCCAGCTTACTGTATATATTTTTACGATTATATGTATATTGTTAGGAAAATAACCATGTTAACAATATTTTTGTGTATCCTTCCAGAAAAAAAGTCAGCATTTTATATGCACTTCACATTTTTATTAATACTATATTTTGGAAGTTTTTGTTTCTTTTTCACTTTAGCATGTAATATCAGCATCTTTTAAAATGGTGACATAATTCCATTGTATTGCCGTTTCATAATGTACTTAACCAGGGCCCTATTGAAAAACATTTAATTCGTTTCTGATTTGTTGCTATTGCAACCAATTCTGCAGGAAACATTTTTCTTTTCTTGGTATACGTTTCAAGTATGTTTATATGGTAAATTTCTAGGAATGGAACTGCCAGGAAAAGGGGCATGAGCATTTTAAAATTTGCATAGGCACTAACAAATTACCCAGTAAAAAGACTGATCCATTGTACACTCCTATCAATGATTTATGCGTCTACTGTTTGCCCACGAGCTCACCCACACTTTGTATTATCAGTATTTTTAGTCCATGTCCATCTGATAGGTGAAAATGATTTCTGGTTTCTGTTTGTATTTATGTTTCTTTAGTATGAGTAGTATTGAGCATCTGTTCATCATGGGAGTCTTCAGATAAAGTTCTACCCTGGACAGTAGCCATTGCTTCCAGCAAGGGCTACAGACGGCCAGGCATGTGTTCTAGCAGTGGTGTCTACTGTGGAACCAGCCCAGAGCACGGCTGCCGAGGTGCCAGTTAATACACAGCTGGAATAAACATCCGGAAGAACTCAAAACTCAAAATTCCAAACCTGCCACTCCAAGTGCTTGATCACATGCCCACCCAAATATTAAAAATAATAATATATTACAACAACAGTGGTTTTATTTATTTTTCTTTTTTCTATATCACAAGTCATCAAGCAAAGAAAAGGCAGCAATCTTTTTAAAACCAGACACCACATTATTGACTCAGACCTCTCATAGACCAGATGCCGTTTAGCTCTGGTTCAGTGAAACTGTCCCCGGTCAGATTAATGTGAAAAACTAAGGATGTTTTTAAGAAAGTGCTAATTAAGTGGAGAAGGTAGTTTTAGTAATAGGAGTGGTCTTGCAGCAGCTGCCATTGACTCAACATAGCTTAATTATCATAATAAGCTGATGCTTTCACTTTCATCACTTGCTGGGTTTGGTACAGTTAATTGAGGCATTGGGTAACACCATTTTTTATCATCTTCTTGGCTAGAAATTGCTCCCTTGGGGAGGAGGGCATTTATTTTTTATTCTGAGGACAATCTGTGATTGGAGGAAATAAAGCAGGGTGAGGACAGAATATCCTTCAATTCTTCAGCTCTGCTTTAGAGCACAGCAGCAACAGCGTTGCATGAGCTCTGATGTGTGGCACAGGCATTTGTGACAAGGGCTGAATGTTACACTGTCCTGAAATTTGTGAATGATTATTCTAATATAAGTTAGATGGCAGAATAATATATTGAGCTATTGGTGTGGGTTTTGTTTTTCTTGTATTTTATTTCTTCTTTCTAAGCTGGAAGCCAGCCTTGTCTCAGGGAGGTTTGGCTTGGGGGCTGAATTCAGAAGTTGTTTGCATGGACTACCTGTTTTGTTTTGTTTTTTTTTTTTCAGACAAGAGTCTCGCTCTGTCACGCAGGCTGAAGTGCAATGGTGCAATCTCAGCTCACTGCAACCCCCTCTTCCTGGGTTCAAGCGATTCTCCTGCCTCAGCCTCTCAAATAGGTGGGATTACAGGCATGTACCACCATGCCTGGCTAATTTTTGTATTTTTAGTAGAGACGGGGTTTCGCCATGTTGGCTAGGCTGGTCTTGAACTCCTGACCTCAGGTGATCCGCCTGCCTCAGCCTCCAAAAGTGCTGGGATTATAGGCGTGAGCCACTGCGCCTGGCCTGACAGTCTACTTTATGTTTTCTGGAAGCCTGAAGCCTGGGGAAGGATTGGAGATTGGTGGCCTCCAAGCATCCCAGATGGGAATGTGCTCCCTGTGACAGTCCTGTGGCAGGTGCCAGCGTGGCAGGACTTCTGTGGAGAGGTTTTGTGGTGTCTCTCAGAAGGTCAGAGCCTTAGCCTAGGATTCTCATTTTCAGCAAGATTCCTGTGCGTCAGCTTGGAAATGAAGCAGCCACAAGCCCTTCCCTGAAGGTGCACGCAGGCTGGAGCCCCAGGGATTTCCACAGCAGTCTTGGTCTCGGGAGAAGAGTGGGCCTGTCCCTGTTTTCCAGGTACCCTCTAACCTCGTGGATTTTCACATATCTCCAGGGAAGGGGAGAGCGTGCTCTGTCCTGTTACCACGAATCTAACTTTCATTCCAGGCTCAAGGGTGAGGGTGCCAAAGCTGAGGTAACTTGAAATAAAGAAAAAAAGGGGCCGTGTGTGGTGGCTCACACCTGTAATCCCAGCACTTTGGAAGGCCAAGGTGGGTGGATCGCAAGGTCAAGAGATCGAGTCCATCCTGGCCAACATGGTGAAACCCCATCTCTACTAAAAATACAAAAATTAGCCGGGCGTGGTGGTGGTCGCCTATAGTTCCAGCTACTCTGGAGGCTGAGGCAGGAGAATCGCTTGAACCCAGGAGGCAGAGGTTGCAGTGAGCCACGATCGCGCCGCTGCACTCCAGCCTAGTGACAGAGCAAGACTCTGTCTCAAAAAAAAAAAAAAAAGAAAGAAAGAAAAAGAAAAAAAGGACTATGGCAAGTCTCGCCCACCTGCATTTTGGTGGTAAGATTCATACTGCACCACGATTCGCATAACATTCAAGGTGAACCTTAAGGTCGTGCTCCCCACTCCCTTCCCTGCCAAAAGGCTCTCCAGTGAGGGAGAAGGGGAGGATGTCACCGTACAGCTCCAGGGACATTGCCTATGGCTCTCCCTCAGGAGTGTGCCGCGACAGGAACCACCTGTCCTTGCATCACTGCTGACACAGGATTGGACATCGCTGCCTCTGAGGATGGGGGAGAGATATGTAAGATCTTGTTGCGATTCCTCAGTGGGATCCACCTCATCATGAATGAAAATGCCACCTTGTCCCACAACCATGGCACCTGTTGCC